CCGAACCTCTAAGTTGTCGCCCCAAATCCCTAAAGTCTCTTTTGATCGCCTTCGGACTTCTCTTTGCTACTTCATCGCTACCAGCCTGAAAGACCAGTAGCGGGTAGTAGTCAGTGGGCTGTACCAGGCGCTTGACTTTCTTGGCAACGTCCCTGACCCTGGCCCCAGGGAGGCAGCAGACTTCCCTACGGGTAGGGTCAGGCCGACAAATAGGACCCTCTGTTCCCCTAAGGACAGAGTCTCCCACAACAATCACCCTTCTTTCGTTCTTGGTGGAGGCAGTCCCGATGCGTGGAGTCGACCTCCTTGCCCTAGGAATCCTCCTGGGAACACTTTCTACCTCTTCCTCAGTTGCTGTTGATCTCTCATTCTCCAGGGCCTCAAACCTGTTTTGTAAGGGCACCTGGGAAGGTGGGGTCGGAAGAGGAGGGCATCGCCTCCACTTTGCTCCCCCAGCCCTTGCCCAGAGGTTCAGGGACTCAGGGGAAGCCTGACTGGCAGTGAAGGCTGAGGCGAAGAGGTTGCTGAGTACCCCAGCCTTCCCCCTGTCTGTTGTTACCAGTTCTCCCTTCCCGTTTATCAGAGGGGACACGCTCTCCTTGGCCTTTTTTTCCTGGACCATGTATCTGCAGAATCCCTTCCTGTTATTCTCGGAATCTCTTGCCAAGCTCAGCTCTGTCTGTCCCTTGGCTTTCCTGATCCCATCCCCGCACACCCAGACAGCATCCCTGTGCTTCCCAGGCCACGTGTCCCTGTTCCCACTGCCTGGGCATTCCCTTTGTGTGCCTCAGTCTGGCCAGCAGGTCCTTGCTTAGCCGTGCTGCCCTTTCTGCCCACTTTCTTACACAGGAGGGTAGAGAGTTCTTGTGCTCTAAGGAGAGTGTCCTAAAAGAGACGCCAGCTCTGCCCAGCTCCTTTGTCCCTAAGGACAGTGTTCCAGGGGAGCTCATCCCCTAGGTCTTCAAGTAGCTCACGGTCACTCTTTGGAAGTTCAGGGTCCTGACTGACTTTTGCCAGTGCTCAGAATGCGGCTCAGTCTTTACTGTAACTTTGAAACCATGCTACCTGACTCCTATTACATTAATCTGCTGTATCTGAAATTATATTCCTTGTAACGTTACTGTGCAATGAAGCTGTGGATTCAGAAGAAGATAGAATTTCCCGGTGTAAGTACAAGCTATTAATTCTGTTTGCTGCTGTGAAAGCCTTTTTTCAAATAAGTGCACTGTTGTCCTTCCAGTAGTTAGAAACATGAGATAGGTAGCACTTAAGAACTATGCCTCTGTAATAAATGAAGTAAAAAGTAAAACAGAAAGTTAGAGTGCTTTATTTTTTTTTTCCAGTTACACAACCTGTCCACTAAGAATGTGGTATTCTATAAAAATAAATTCAAGTCTTGGTTAACTGGGTTTTACTAACATGCTGTAATTACAGTTGGCTTAATGTAAACAAAGATTCCTGTATTAACCAAAGATGTTGCGTTTTTCTACATCCTTCTGCAATGAAATTATAATTACCATTTAATAGGGAAATAAAGTTATGGCTTTGGTATTTGAATTAGCCAATACTTTGCCCCAAGTGTTGGGAAAGTGTGGTTTTCAGGAGAACGGCTCATCGAGATTTTATGGATTCCCTCACAGCAGCATAAGAGAAAGTATTGCTGGGGAACCAGGAGAGCTGTGGGCAGAGTGGGAGTATATGGAAAGGGCAGAGTTAAGAGGAGAGTTAGGATTGATTTCACTTTTGCTAGAGATTTGTGAGGCAGAGTAGCAACGTGGTGCTGTCTTCTCAAAACATTTTGCTACCATGTTCACTTTGACTTCTCCCTTGCTAACAGCCGTGACCCATGGCTTTTTCTCTGGATATTGGTGAAGAAGCTAACATGGACACGGCCATTCTGCTTTTCCTGGTCATTACTATCTGTTTTGCCCATTGATACAGTTCTTTCTGAAATTTTGAAATGTTTTGGTTCTCTTCTTAAGCAGCTCAGCACTGAGGTGTCTTTGATTTTACAAGTTTTGCATCCTGACTGGAGGGATCAAACAAAGGTGTGCATGCAACTTGGTGTGATGTAGGTTGAGTGCTTCTCAGAATTACACTTCTGAATGCTTGTGGGTTTCCTGAATATTTGGGTTATTTTCAGAAAAAGTTATGTTTCAGTTGTCACCCTCTCTCACACACTTCTCTTAAGATATCACGGAGTCTTCAACCATTTCACTGTAAAAAAAACAAACAACACACTTTGCTAAAGTTCTGTTTCTCATCAAAGGTGCTTTCATCAAGACTGCACAATTAAATTCTGCAAAGTCAAATTACAGTGAAAATGCATCTCATTTTTCCACTTCATTACACAATTTTCTGTTCCCTGCCAAAGTGTTAACTTATACCGATTCACTGTAATTGTACACTGATTAGTAACTTTATAACGTGTGGTCATAGATAATACAGAAGATAAATTTTTCTCAGAACTGTGCTACTGTGATCTAACAAATGAGTGATCAGGGTCAGATTTTAGCAATAGTTTTTCAGTGTCCTGTCTCATCCTACCCGTAGGGAGAGCACAAATTCCTTCCTTCAGGGAGTAGCACGTGAGATCTTTAGGTCCCTGAGGCAGCCATCCACGAATCACTACCCACAGGATCATAGGTACAGAAGACAGGGCAATGAAAAGAGTCTTCCTTTTGAGGGTATTTTCTTCCCTGAAGTTCCAAGAACAGCCTGACTCTTTGCCACTCAAAGTAGAAGTTTTGTCCTTTTAGAGCATTCTAGTGCAAAGTGGATATAAGCACCCCTAAGTGTGGATGTGACGACATATCTTTGGCATGATTTCTGTTACACCCTAAGGGTTTCCAGTCTTCTGTGGTTAATCATTTTTGGTTAGTCACATAATCATTTATTGTAAGATGGTTTTTCCTTACCTACTAATCATTACAGAGAGTGGTAAGTGGAAGAGTTATTTCTGCTTTCCTGAAGTGTCCTCTGCATCCTGGAATGGTTTAAGTGCAACAAGTCCACCAACGCATTTACAACTATGGGAACTTGTGCCTAGTCCTGAGGGATGACTTGAGATTTTAAAAAGTTAAGCAAGTGCTTAAGTTATACCAGACCTAGCAAAAGTAGTTTTCATCACTTTGAAAGATTGAGACATCTTTCATCAAGTTGATTAAAACAATGTACTGTGTTAATCTGTTATTACAGGTGGCAATAGATCAAATCCAGGATACAGCTGCCAACAACAACAAAGCCTGACCGTTTCTTTAAGAAAAAATTCTAGTGTATCAAGGAAAGCTTAGTTTACAGTTCAGGTCTGTTTGTTTAATCACAGTTCTGTTTTGTGTTATCTAATAATAAAATAAATGGAAGTTATCTAATAATAAATTGAAGTTTTCAAAATACTGCTGTACATACTAACATCATAAAATACTTCTAAATAGGAGAGAGAATTTAGAAACATCAGTGCAATGCAGCCTTATACTGATAGCATAGATCATGGGGGGGTTGCAACATCATTTGAAAAATAAAAAGGGGATCAGCAGACTGATCTGAATTAGTTGGGGAACTGAATTAGTTGGGGAACTGAATTAGTTGGGGAAGGGAAGGGGGCTAGCTAAAGAGATGAAGACCCAAGGGTGCTCTGGAAGTTGGAGTGGCTGCTGAGGTGGGTGTAAAGGGCTGCCCTGTGGGAAGGAGGCAAGCAAATAGGAGCTGGACAAGTACAGGCAGGAGAAACCAGTCAATGAAGTGGGTGTCCGAATTGATGGCTCCAGGTGCAAAGTGTGCAGGCACAACACCAGCTTGGCCTGAGGGGTAGCGTTTGTGCTTGGGGCATTCTGGTCTGTCAGCCAGCCTGCTCATTTACAGACTGGGATCAGCAGTGGGGTTGGGTAGTTGTAGGCAGAAAGCAGTTCAAATTGTGAGTGCTCTCAGGTAGCAAATTGTGGGTGCATGTGCAGGGTGAATGTCTGAAACTGCTCTTCGAAACTCTTGAGCACGGCTCTGCTGCTTGTTCACGACCACTGTGTGGGCTGTCTGTGGCTTCTTGAAACACTCGAACTAAACAAAAAGGGCATTTCTTGAGTCCTCCCAGGAATGAACAGGTATGAGTTCCGGAGACGGGACAGATGCGATGGAGACACGCTGGAGGGGCCTGGGGACATCGGCTGCCGACAGTGGGCAGTTGTGGAGCAGAGAGGCAGCATGACCTTCCCCACCAGCGCCCATCTCCCCAGTGAAAGAGGCCATGGGCCTGAGTGAGGGGTGAGATAATTGATTAGGGGTGACAGCTCTAATCTCACTGGTTTTACCAGAGGTTTTTCACATAAATTTGTTGTTTATTCTTCCCTGTGAAGATGGCGTAGCATAAACACACTAAACCAGTGTGGATTTCCTGCTGGATCAGGAACAAGATCCCCAGTTGATGTCTGTATTAAGACACTGAGGTGTGTTATCTGCTCTCAGAGACTGTCTGCTCAGAAAGGTCTCATTGGTGCTTAAGAGGCACTTTGCTGGGGACTTTGCATCTCCATTTGCTGACTTCACAGTATCCCTCTTAATTGCAATGTTCCTCCTGATACTTTTTCCTTTTATTCTGCTGTTGCTGATGGCTGCCATTAGCCGGCACACAGCTTTAAAAGGGACCATAACTTCGGCTGATCCTAATGGTGCCGATGCCCTGAATAATATATGAGACGTGCTGCCTATTAACCTCACCCACTCGCTCCCCTCTGGAGGTCTGTGCCTCTCAGGGGCACCGCTGAATCACCCCATCTGTACCCAAAAAAACACCAGACGGCTCTCAGCGTGCCCACAGCGGGCGAGGCCCCTCTTCCAACCCTCCCTTTGGGCTCGGGGCCGCCGCCATGCCCCTCTGCCTGACCGCGCCACGGCCAGCCCCAGAAGATGGCGGGCGGGCCGTGAGGGGCCGGGACCCGGCCCTAAAGGTGGGGTGGCCGGGTAGGGCCGGACAGGGAGGCAGAGAGGCGGCCCCGGGCCTCGGAGCAGGGAGACGGGGCGGGCGGTGGGGCCGGGCCTCCGCGCTCGGGGCGTGCCGGGCAGCGGGCGGGCTGCTCGCACGGCAGCTCCCTGGCAGCTGCCGGCCGCTGTGTGCTCCGCTGCGGAGGGGCTAAATGCCGGGTATCGGGATCAGTGCTGCGGCCCCGTGCCTCTCCTGCCCTGCCTGCACAGCTCCTGCCCGCTGCGAGGTGCAGTAATTGCTGCGAGCTCCGTGCCTGCCGCAGGTATCGCCCTACACGACGAGCCCGGTGCTTGAGCTGCATGGGGAGGCTGCGTGGGGCTGCGCGTCCTCACGGGCTGTCCCCTGGGGGTGGGTGTCCGCAACAGCTGAAAACAAACTTCTGAGAGCTGAGAGCTGAGGCACTGGGGGAGAAGGGTGGCTTTGTGCTCGGGGAAAGCACCGTGCATCAGGCTGAAGGAGCGGAGCGGTCAGTGTAGGTCCCTCGGTCACAGACTGACCACTAGCACCAGGCTTCACAATGGGAGAGGGGAGGGAAAGTGGAGAAAAACCCCTCTAGGTTTGTGTCATAAAGTATTGAACGTTACAGTGTTGATTTATATACAGTGATGATTTGGATCTGTTTTTTTCTTTTTCTTTTTTCTTTCTTTTTTTTTTTTGGTGTTATTTGGGACTTGCAGGGAACATTTTTAATTGAAAAATGTCGTGCTGGCAGATCTCAAAATCAGTTTGTTTTAGTAGGTCCCGTAATTGCAATTAGTTTCACACCACAGTTCTGTTTCAGCCAGCAGTTTTGACCGAGATACAAAAGTATTGCTAGTACGAGTTTACGCTATGGGCAGTAAATGGAAGACCGGACACACAACCTCTACGAGATGATCGGTGTCAGCAGGGTGAAACAGCCACTGTTCAGTTGTCTCCTGCAGGCTTATAGTGAGATAAATACATCTGGATCAAAGAATACAGACTGTACTCAGCAGGACAAAAAACTGTCTTGGAAAGACTGCCTCCTCTGTTGGGGAAAAAGGGCTAATGCTGTGCTTAGACGTGCGGTAGGAGGAATTAGCAGGTAGGAGTCCTGGTAGTGGTCTTAAGTTCCTTTAGCAACCTGTGCGAGGAAGGCATCTGTCTGGCATCCCGCAGTGAAAAGTGAAGGAACTGGGGAAGGTGGGCAGTATAGAGGCTTCCCTGCAATGTTACACATTAACTGCATTAATGCAATGGAGCTGTAGCCCACTCCTGTAAACCCAGCGCTAATTATTCAGATACTGTGTCTGCATGTTAGGAAGGGTATGAAGCAATAGTGAGCCTTCAAAAGAGGATATAGAAAAATAACCAAAGGAAACGGAAAACAAACCTGTTGAAGAGTATGTTACTTCCATTTGTATAAACTTCAGATGAGTACGTTTGGGTGTTCGCATATAGAGAAGCAGAAGGATATTCAGGCCATGCAGAGTGACCTTCTTAATCATTGAGAAAGATACGAGACAAAATACTGCATAGTTATTGCCAGTATTACCAACTAACTACTAAAACCAAGAATATGTATTACAATAGTTGCGTAAGTGCAAAACTCTATTAGCCGTGACTGTAAGATGGGTTTTTAATGTGATCCAGGATAGATGATTAAGTTTCTTTTTCAGAATGGCTGTTGTGTGGGCATGTAAACTGCATGGTCGCAGTCATCTTTTTTGACTGACAGTGATATTTCGTGTTCATGTTGTTTCCTTTGATTCTTGTGTTTGGGAGACTGGGATTACCTGCACTGTTACCCCTATTCTCCTAACATCGGCAGCACTGTGGAAGGATCTGCAACTGGGCTGTAGCTGATCCTCTGAACGTTCCAGGAAAATTTTGTCTTTTTTGTAAAACAGTTGCAAACATTACTTAAGTGGATGTGGGTTTTACTCTGGAGCACCTAGAACTGATCTTAATTTATGAGGTGAAGCTGGACAGGTGAAAAAATGCTCTGAAGAAGTACAGGAAATCTTCCCTCTTACTGTCAGACAGGCGCATATTCCTTATGAACTTGAGGTTAAAACAATTGCCAGGTTTGGGAGGTAAGGAAGGGTTTTGGTTGTGGATTAGGTGGGAAAAAAAAAACACAACTCAAACCTCTCTTAATAAGAGTTATACCTTCCTTTAAAGCACAGTGCATGGATCCTTCTGCATGGACCATCCAGATTCCTCATCTGGTTGCTTACTATGGCGCAGGCATCTCAGTCTGTCTTGTTCTACGTTTTTCTTTGGGTCATCCTTCTTTTCTCAAGGAGGGGGCACAGAGGTAACCACCCTACCTAATAATGTACTACCGAGGTGTGACACTAAAATCATGTTTCAAAGTATACTGTAACATTTGTGGTTCCCAAAAAGCTCACGCTAAGAAGGAAAGCCCGGGATCAGACCTGTGCACGATTCCTACTTAAGCCCTTGCTCCACTGTTTCTTCTTTCCCACAGGTAAAACAAAAACAAGGAATGACTGTGCGGCTACTAGATCTGCAGTTGTCTCTAGTAGTGGCCAACATTCAGTTCTGGTAGCATTGATGTCTTGACCTTTATTTTAGTAAGCATTATCAAGTCAGATCTGATTATGTACTTAAAATGAAAAAAAAAAAGGGACCCTTATATGTAAAATAAATTAAATCTTGTTTTGTGTTTGTAGCTTTAAGCTTTTCCCCTAAAATTAAAGTATTTATTATGAGGTTTCATATATTAATATACTGGCAAACAGATACTTGTTCTGCAGCTGTTTTATTTAGCTTGGCATCTGTACCTAAAGATAAATTTAAAGGCCTATCTGTTATATTTGTATTTGTTTAGAGAATAGTGAATTCTGTTCTACTTACCAGACACATTTTTCTTTTATTAGTATCAAGCTGTATTTAGGTGAAATTTGGAATTTAAAGATAATGTATAGCATTTTATATCAGAATGTGTTAATATTTAATACACCGCTAAATAACGTTCTATACAAAAGGAAAGGGTTTATCAAGACAAGTTTTGCATCTGTAACCTCAATGTGTCATAAACAATAAATGTTAGTAGTTTTTAGCTGAACTGACCTTTCCTTGTCACTATGTCCTTCAGGATTTTAGAACAAAAGTATCTTATCCTGTTGTGCCTTTTTGCTTATTATTATTATTATTTAGAGGCTGAAAGAGGAAAATGTCTTTCCTGCTTTTTCAGTTTCTAGTTAACTTGCAGTTTGTAAATTAACAAGTCATTGAACTTAATGATTACAGCCTTTGTTTCTATTCTTTTTTTTCCCACTATGACATATGTAGAACAAGTTTCTGCGGTCACAAGTTGGCACTGAGCTTCAAGAGGCTCTTCTCCATGTTGCTTCTTCAGATGTCTGTGGAAACTTACTGGTTTCTATTTTCTCAATAAATCTGTGTTATTTGAATAATACTCTGTGTTTATTTTAGTAATAAGTAGTAATTTTAATGATGGGTTTTAAGGCAAGTTGCCATAATTTCAAATTTAAATAAGTTTGGTTTTGATGTAAGCACATCAGAAAATGTGCTTAATTACTGTTCAAGTAAAATTTTATTTAAATGTCAAAGTTGTAAGTTTTATTTTTCCTGGACTAAGGTTCAGCTAACTATATTTTTAGCTCAGTTGAGTACTGCAGGTCACAAAACCAGTGTGCTCAGGATCATTTACTACAGTGTTTGCCATTTTTCCCATGAATGGGCTTGCCAAAGTATGATTTGTAGGAATTAGAGAATTCAGAGAGGAAATTGACTGTCCCTTACTTCTGCTGCTTCCTCCAGTATGCTTGCATGTCACTCTCTGCTCTGACCTGTGCAGAGAAATCTATTCTTTTCCTCTTCTGATATCCACTGGTACTCACCCTTGGAACGGGTCCTGGAAGCTGATGCTTCTGCAGCCTGTTTTATAGGAACAAGACTGAAGTTCACATTGGGTTTATTTGCCTCAAAATGCCCTCCTTCCCTTCAGGATTTCTGTAAACACTAATAGATTTGAATAGTAGAGTTCAGGACACCTGTGCTTACACCTTTTCCAAATGAATCTCTTTCTTTTTCTGTATTAATTCCAAATGAATTCACTGGGGTAGCTCACACTAGGGTTCCTGGCAATCAACACTGGCTGATAGAGCAAAGTCTGTCTCTTCGCATGGTAGAGTTCCTCCAATTGCTGCTAAAGACTGAATATAAGGCTACAATCACTGTTCAGTTTTTGTTGTCAGTTGCTAAGAGAGCTGTATTTATACCTAGTGGGAAAGGACACCCTGTTAGGTTCCAACAAAAACGTTAGAAATTCTTGAAGATTACTGGTTTTATGCAGGCTAAAGAAATACTGCTGGTTCCACTTATAAATGTACCATGTCCTCTATGCATGGCGCAACAGCTGCATTGCATACAGAAGTATGTGTTTGTGTAGTTTAAAAATAATATTAAATTAGGTTTGAGTGGAAGAAACTTTCCCATCCTGAAAAATGGGAAAGAGAGGGAGGAAAGCTGATCGAGAAACAGCTCTACTTAGAAAATGTAATGAGAAGTTGGTTAGGGTCATTTTTTCATCTGATTTACTTATATTTTTTAAACCATAATAATTCCAAATAACTTAATAACTTTCAAAATGAAAAATGGAAGAACTGTTGTTTTGGTATTGAGGCAGCCTTTTTTCATCAATAATATTACCTTTTAAAAAAATATCTTCATTGTGATTTTCCCTTTCTGCAAGAAATCGTTTTGATTAATCAAGTTTTTAAATAGCTCTTGTTGAGGAAAATGGTTCTGCTCATGCAGTTTGTTTGCTGACCTGCTTTTAGCTTTTCTAGGTATCTTTCATAGACTCAACCCCTGCCCAAGCAGGGACACCCAGAGCAGGCTGCCCAGGGCCACGTCCTGGCGTTTTTGGAGATCCCCAAGGAGGAGACCCCAAAGCCTGTCTGGGCAGCCTGTGCCAGGGCTCCCTCACCGCACAGTATGGGAAGAAGTGCTGCCTGGTGTTTGGAAGGAACCTCTTGCACTGAAGTTTGTGCCCCTTGCCTCGTGGCCTGGCACTGGGCACCACTGAAAAGAGCCTGGACCCGTTCTCTTTGCACCCTCCCTTCAAGTGTTTCTGTAAATTGATGAGATCCCTCTGAGCCTCCTCTTCTCCAAGCAAAGCAGTCCCAGCTGTAAAAGAGATGCTCAGTCCCTTCACCCATCGTCATGGCCCTTTGTTACACCCGTTCCAGTATTTTTGTGTTTCCCTTGCACTGGGGAGCCCAGAACTGGACACAGTACTCCTCTGGGGTGGCCGCCCAGTGCTGAACGTAGCGGAGGGATCACCTCCCTTGACCTGCTGGCAATACCTTGCCTAGTGTGAGCCTTGTTACCATCAGCCTGCTTTGTGACACCTTGGTGGCTCACGTTCAGCTTGGAGTCTACCTGGAGCCCCAGACCCTTTCCTACAGAGCTGCTTCCCAGCTGGGAGGCCCCCAGCCCGTCTGGGTGCCTGGGGTTGCTACTCCCCAGGTGCAGGACTCTGCACTCCTCCTTGTTGAATTTCATGAGATTTTTGTCAGCCCACCTGACCATCTGTCCAGCCTGTCAGGGTCTTTCTGGATGGTGCATGACTCTGCTCTGTCAGCCCTTCCTCCCAGTTTTGTGTCACGTCCTTTCAGCACGTCTGAATTTATTGTGTGACTTTTCCATCACCGGACCATTCTTGTAACGCTTTTACGTGTGCGATTTCTTAAACGAGCAAACAGCTGAAGACCTATTTATTCATGTATGGTTGCCACATAAGATGGGAAGAGAGATGTAACCTGCTGAGTCACTCTCTGGTTTCTGGCATGCGGTAGTAAGCAACTTGCATGTCGAATAACTGGCTGCCAATGGCACTCGAGAAGATGGGAGAAGGTGCAAGGTTCAGGACTGAACCAAATTAACAGAAGAAGAAATGGGAAGAAATGCCATGGAGATCTCTCTCCCTAGGCCCCCATGCAGTTCTCTATTTAAGCAAATCAGATGCTCTTCAGGTCATATAGCAAGTCACATTTGCTACCTTAGCAAAAACGTGTGTGTATATATATATACACATAATTTATTTTTTTTTTTCTTTTACCAAGTGGAAATGACTGTGTACAAATCACTAGGAAAAAAGAGAAAAGCTGGTGATGGTAGAGGACAAGGAGATCACTGAGAATGGATGGGATGTTTGATCTTTGTTTAAGCTTTTGGGTAGGCATGTGGAACCAGAGTTTTTTGAAGGCTTGCAACTGGGCTTGCGGCTGGATTTGCCATGCCTGGGCTTCTTAGTGCTGTGCTCCACTGTAGTGGGGTTTATGGTGGTATGGGATGTTTTTGGCACAAGCATAACTCAGAAATGGTTTTGACTTCCCTATGCTTTTGTGTTCTGATTCCTTGCTATAAAAAGTATGGGATCGCTGGAGCAAGTCAAAAGACCGGTCAAAAAGCGTTTTCCCTATTATTGGAAATAGCTGAATTATTTTGGCTGAAATGCCGCCTGTTCTGTCTCTTGTCCCTTAAAAATAGAGAACTGGCATGTAAGATTTCAGCAGAAACTTAGGGTTTTGTGAAATTTTAAGGAAAAAAAATAGTTTTTTTGAGTGGGAAGCGTGTGACAGACTTACTAAACTTTTTCTTTTTTTCCCATTTTTTTAATATGTCAGATAGTTCTGCATCTCCTTGCAAGAGTTTTTGAACTCTTTGAAGTGTTTTATGCTTTTACCAAGTTTTTACCAAGAAAAAGGTCCCTTTTCTCATACTGTCTTTTCATTTTTATCACAAAACTTTTGGGCATGATGTGCACAGTAATTTCCAGAAGAAGAGTCAGCCGGTGCTCCCAGATAAAGTCAAGTGTCCATGTCAACTTACAGTTGCTTTATTTGGCATCATCTTCTATTGAAATGGACTGTTAATTTTATTAAAAACTTCTTGTAAGTTATTCCTTTCCTGAATTGGAAGGGATTGTATTCTGTAATACTTTACTAATTGTTCTGTTTACTTACTTAATTAAGTTAAATGATTAAAAATTAAAAGTAAACAGTTATAATGATTCATTTACTAATGCTAATAGTTTGCATGTCCCTTTTGGGGAGAACCAATATCTTTGTTTTGGTCTTGGTATTAGCTGAAATATATTTTGAGTATGTCACAGGTAAGAAAAACTATGACCATTTCTTACACAGAGCAGTGAATTCACGTTCAGTCTAGACAGTTGCTTTGTGGTGACAATTCTATCCCCTCTTTTTTTCTTGATTCTTTTTTAGGAAAAAACTGTTTTGAACTGTTGGTTTTATTTCATGAAGTCCTTACAACATAGAAAACACATTGAGCTTTTGTCGCAGGTTGCTAGTAGTTAAGACAACAAAAAAGAATAATAGAGCTTTATTATGTTAAATGCCATAAGCTCTTTCCTGTGAACAGTTATACATGCTTATCTTCGCATGCCACACACAGGATTTGGTGTTCTCATAAATGAGCATTTCCTCCAAGATTAAAGCCATATTCATGGAGCTGCTACAAAACATTTTATTTAACTACTTAATAAGATGATGTACTTCTTGAAGCAGAAAAAAGTACTTACGCCAGTGCAGCATCTGTAACCCATTACTGTGTAGACTTGATTTCTCTTGGGCTTACCCTTCCTACTCTGTCATAGCTTTGATTAGGCACATCTTGTACGGCTCTTGATTATTTTGCTCAGTTTTGTTGATACCACTAATCATTTTTGAAGTGTTAGTTTCTCAGCAACCACTGGTCTCCTAGCTTATAAAGTACCGACTGCATTGCTGTTTACGACAAAGCTGTGGTAATCTTTGGTGCACTTTCCTATGAAGTTGGTAAAGCCTTTTTTGGAGTCATCTGACCATTATGATTTTCCTTTATTTTTGAATGGAATGTAGTTTTCTTGTAGACATTTTAAAAGAGTCAGCCTTGCTAAATGTCTCTCCGCAGAAGATAGGCAGGCTGAATTTCACACAGACTCAAAGGCATTTCTCAACCATTCTTTACGCTGGTATTGGAAGGCAGGCTGGATCACCCCCAGAAGGATTTCAGGTGTGCTTACCTCTCTCAGTTATGGAAAACTCAAACACTTACCTTAGGAAAACTGCAGCAGATTTCTCCATTGTGCAGGAAACTTACACTGAGATAAAGTAAACTTCAATCCAAGCTAATCATGATTAACTCTTACGTAAATGTTTGCAAAGTATTAAAGTTACAGGGACACCTTTACTTGAAGTATATCATTTTTATGTATATTTTTCTTCCTTTTTTTTTATGACAGTGTTTCCTGCCCATAGTTTATGAAAAGGAAATGTTCAGCTGTTGGATTTGGATGTTCATCTTGCTCTGCGGAAGTTCTATAGCAGGTTTGTTTCCTTATTACTAGCACTTGTCTTGCCATAAGAAAATTTTTTGAAAGGTGTCTTTCACCAAGTAAAATGTCCAAGCATTATTAAAATGAAAAAAAAAAAATTAAAAATAGAACCATACTGTACACATTAAGTAGTGTACAGTAGTGTGAAAAATTAATTTATAGCATTCTTGATCTCTTTGTAGAATGCAAATTATGATTATTGCGGCCTGGATTTTGAAACAAAAAGACAGCAAAAAGATAGACAGAATCAAATCACATAAGGGTTAAAATATACCAAAAGAGAATTAACAGAAAACAAGGAAGAAAGTTTAATATTTGGTTTAATTTCTTAATTCCAGCAAAACAAAATTCTACGTCTGAAAGATGTTCTTTTGTTTATTTGTTTTTATTTAGCAGATTTATTTATGAAATTTGGCTCCAAGAAACAAGTAGCACAGTAAAATAGATAAAATAGCTCCTTGCAGGATTCCTTTGGGTGATTCTTACACTTTTTGAGTTCTCTATGAGATCTTTGAGTTCATTCCTTCACCCTCCTTCTGTGTTTTCCTTTTGTGTACACTTTACATACAATTCCTGCACTGTGTTTGAGATTTTAAATTCTGTGAAGGGTAAAATCCTAATGAAACATTGAAATATACTGCAGCCTGGTTATAGGTTTTAAACTTAACAGTTTGATGTACTTCCTGACATACTCAATAGTAATGATACAATGAAATTACAGGTGTACTTTTTATATACAGGTTTTTAAAAACATTTAAATGGCAACAGCCTCCTTTCTTCATTTACTTCTATTAAAGAACATACAAGTTGAACTTTCTCCACGCTATCTGGGAAAGTATGGAAACATAATTCTTATACAATTCCTGTATTAAGATAGTGATTTGTAAAAACTGAGTTTACATACTCAGTATCAGCAAAATCTGATTCAAGGGATTATCTGACAATTTTATTTGAACTCCATTTGAAAAAATAATCAAATTAAATGATGTATAGACATACATGTATACGGTGATGGCAAAATAAGGTAGCGTTTTTTCACAGGTATGTCGAAAGGATCTAGGTAATGTGATATCTTTAATTTTGCTTTTAGATGAAAAATCTATCAGAGATGCTGACATTTTTCCTTCATCTCCTGAAATTGAAAGAGGATCCACCCTGAAACTGTTTTGTGTTCTTGGAAAACACTATACACCTCAAAGAAATGCAAGCCACATCATCTGGAAATTAAATCATGAATTGATTGCTCAGGAAAACTATAACATTGTGAATGAGACTGTATCTAGTGTAATCATCCATAATTTCACTTACAACAAAGCACATGTGAAATGTTTCATCAAGTACTTAGGCAAAGAACAACTTTTGGTTCACACAGAAGTTAAATCTGGCTGTAAGTAGAAATATGGGACAAAATTTTAAATATTTTTGTGTAACTTACTGTCTTTTTTTGTTTTTTTTTTTTTTTTTTGGACCTAGTTTTGTTTGCTTGTTTGTTTGGCTTGGGGCATTATAAGACCTTTTATTCAAGTATCTTTTTTTTTTTTCTTTTCTTTTTTTTTTTTTTTTTTCCTAAACTAAAGCATGAAATTTTTGGCAATCCTTATTGATGCTAGTCCATAATCTGACCCTGACTTGACCAGCTAAAGCAGTGGGCGATTTTTGTTGAGTTCAGAGACAACTAGATCCTTCTCTTTGATTATTTCTCATGTCTAGCCTAGCCAACTTAAGCCTTCTCAAGGGATGATTTCCTTTCCAATCCTCTGTTCCAGAAAAATTATAATCATAGTCTTATCTGGAGAAAGTTGCAGGATAAATATAAATACTACTTCTCTATTTTACTGAGCAGGTTAAGTCCATTTTATACTAATGCATGCATGGGGATTCCATTCTAGTAAGGAAGTGGTAAATGCAGAGAAATAAACCCACAGAATAAAGAACAGCAAAAAATATTGCTGGTTTGCAAAGTGAAGTGTGCTGTAAGCTTGTAAGCAAAAAGATCTTTTTAAGAAATGTGCTAGGTAGAACAGAGAAGTATTATTTTGCAGAAATGGCTTCTTCAGTCAGTGTATTTCAATGGGAGCAGTTCTCTTCCTTTCAACTCCCATTTCTTCTAGTGAGTGAAGTCTGTGTTTAACGCAGGTATCTTTGAGGGTGTTACATTTTTATGGATTGTTTCCTTTGTGCCATCTTGCTTATAAGTGAAATTAGTGGTTGCTTCAAGGTCAAATAGATACATTTTCCAGGAAATTGTCTTCTGCAGTCTGAGGCCATACAGTCTTCTTAGTTTAGCAGTTTTAGTAAGGTATGTGGCTAGGTATTCTGAGAAGGAACCAAGAGGAGCTTTATCTTTCAGACAATGCTCATACATTTTTGCTGTATCTTTGTTTTCCTGCTACTGGCTGGACTGGTGTTTGCCTACAGACACTTTACAGGGAGTGTATTTAGACATTCAGGACAAAATATATTTTGGTTTGATATAAGATGTTTAATGAGCTACTATAAAAATACCTCCAGGCCCATTCAGTTAAGTACTTTCTGAGAATCAGTTGGAGCCAGTCTTCCTGCTTCCCTGGGGAAAGAAGAAATGGTTTTGGTTTTGTGAAGAGTTTTGAGGGCAATAAGAGAAAAAAAAAAAGGAGTTATGTGAAAGCCACATAGTGAAGCTTGGCCTTCTGACTAACATAGTAAATTTTATATTAAAGTTGTTTATAAGAATATTTTTTTCTCCTTGGTCATTGCAGTTCCACCAGACACGCCAGGAAATATTTCCTGTATTTATTACTTTAATGTTGAACTTACCTGCAACTGGACTTCAGGAAGAGAAACAAATCTTACAACAACCTATACTCTTTACAGAAAAATGTAAGTATTGGATGTAGCAGGAACTCGGGTGCTGGGGTAAGACTGCTATCTCCCTCCCCATCATATTCTCACTTCTGTTTAAAATAAACCTGGAAGCAGCATGTAGTTCGGTGTCATGGCATTCCTCAGTAAGCACAATTTATTTTGGATTGATAATGGTTAAAAAAGTTACAACCTGATACTGTTCTAGTACTCTGCATAAACATAATGAATGCTTTTAACTCAGCACACAACTCATTGTTGGAATTGATGTTCCCTTGTTTCCCTGAAATACCATTATTAATTAGGTCAAACTGAGTAAGCCTAGGTACAAATATAATCGTTTAAGATATTCTACTGCTGAGTCAGAATGGAGGCACTTAATTGAACTGTAACAGAGAAACTTACCAACTGTCCTTGGTTTGAATGAGGAAAGATGCCTTCTTCCCCAACTTTAAACAATTCCCCCTTAAAACCATTAAAGTCCCTGTTGTTCTGTCTAATAATAACATATACAACAGTTTGTACTAAGGTGTTGCACATAAGGATATTTCAGATTTTATTTATTTATTTTACATTAAATAAGTTTTCAAGGTGCTTTTCTAATTCGAAGCATTTTGTGTAGTATACTACTCTAAGGTACAGTAATTGACAACCAGATCTCTCATCTGAAGGCTGTTTTAGGGTGGGGGAAAAAAATGCAAACCGTAAAGTATAATGACGAGCAACATCAATGGTGTCTGACAGCATTAGGCTTTAACCTAGTAGTCTTTGGAGTCATACTGTCTCAGTGAAAGAATCAAGAGTTGTCCTTTTTGGTCTGCTCATATCCTCGTATCTGGGGATTTGCATTTACAAATACAAGTTATGCAGTCTTGTGCTTTTTAGTATCTTCACAACCCCATTATAAGAGAAGAATTATTTGATTCTTTCAATTTTAATTTTAGATTTTGCTTAGGAGCTTACTTTTTCAAAAGTTATTGTGAAAATAGTGAAATCACTGTTGTTTCAAGGCAAATCTCAAGATACAGTTTTGAAGGCAACAGCACAGATTTTATCAAATACACTCGTCAATGTGTTTTTCATAATACTGCTGCTTGAGGCCGTAGATAATATGTTGGCATGAAGTTTTCTAAAACGCCTAAGATGTCCTTGAGAAATGGAAGGAATGTAGACTCCAAAGGAAATACTTTCTTATTGTAAGTTATATTAGCATATTACATCTTTTTATGCAAATGGAAGGACAGGAAGATATCTTTAGTTTTGTCTCTACTTTAGGCTCGACATTTTAGTCCACCTTTGCTAGGTAGAACTTCCTACTGCTTCTAGTGTTTCTATGTTTTGTAACAGTTGGACACGTGAAACCATAAACTGTGCCAAATGTTGAAAGTAAGTATTGATACTGCTCCTTCCTGTACCAGCACAATTTTTTCTTTAACCACACAGTGAATTGCAGATCTATTTCCAGTAAAATCTAACCATTAACTTTAATCTAGATCAATTTCCCTGTTTGTTTTACTATATGACTACTATGGTGGTTTTACCCAGCTGGGCAGCTGAACTACACTACAACTGCTCTCTCACTCCCCCTCCTCAAATGGAAAAGGGGAGAAAATATGTTGAAAAGTGGATCAAGGACTGAGATAAGGACAGGGAGATCACTCAACAGTTAGCGTCATGGGCAAAACAGATTCAGCACACAGAGACCAACTTATTACCTATTACTAAGAAGCTAGAGGAAGCAGTTAGAAACTAAAAGCAAACCATAAACGCCTTTCCCCATCCACCCTTTTCCACCTCCTCCCCTCCAAGCAGCACAGAGGAAGAGGAATGGGGGCTGTGGTCAGTCCCTGATGCTTCGTCTCTGCCGCTCCTTCCTGCTCCCTCTCTGCCCCTGCTCCCCGTGGGGTCCCTCCCATGGATGTCGTCCTTCCCCAACTGAGCCCGCGGGGGCTGCCCACAGGCAGCAGCTCTTTGAGACCTGCTCCCACACAGCTCCATCCCACGGGGTCCATCCATCATCCCCAGGAGCAAACTGCTCCAGCACGGGTCCCCCACGGGTGGGGGCAGCTCCCCCCAGACCCCCTGCTCCTGCGGGGGCTCCTCTCCACGGGCTGCAGCTCCGGCCCGGGGCCTGCTCCTGCGGGGGCTCTCCATGGGCCGCAGCCTCCTCCAGGCCACATCCACCTGCTCCACCGGGGGCTCCTCCACCCATGGGGGGGCTGCAGCGTGGAGATCTGCTCCATGTGGGACCCATGGGCTGCAGGGGGACAGCCTGCTCCACCAGGGGCCTCTCCCTGCACAGGGGAACTGCTGCTGCCTGCCCGGAGCACCTCCTGCTGCACTCATCTGGGGGCTGCAGGGCTGCTTCTCTGGTTCTCTCACATTTCTCATCCCTCTCTCCCAGGTGCTGTTGCACAGCAGTTCTTGGTTTTGTTGATTTCTTTCCCCCCCACCTTCTTCAATCTTCCCTCCCAGAGGCCCGAGCAGTGTCACTCATGGCTCGTCTCTGGCCAGCAGCGGGTCTGCATGCTATCTTATAGCTGTGTCATGGGGCATGTGTTCCTAGCTGTGTCTACATACATATTATTAAAGGAGGTCTTGTGTGGAGTGACTTGATTATTTCACTGCTCTTTGATTTTAATCTAAAATAATAATAACCTATGAATCCCCCATTAAGTCATTTTTACTTTTCATTACTGCTTTCTGGAATTTGTCTTACTAATGGCAATTAAAGCTGAGTCCTTGTGGGCTATACATATGCATTATTTATTGGGTTTAGTTTTTACAGAGTGAATGCAGGAGCAGTGCAATTGGGAAAGAGCGTTTGTTTGCACACATGTATTACCTAAGAAGGAGATTTTTAGTATTAAAAAAAAATTCTGCATCCTCAAAAACATATAATAATTAAATCCTAACCTAATAATCAGAGTTATTCTGAGAATATCTTCTAACGGCTAACTCCTGCTTTTTTTCTCTTTTAATTTTTAGTAAGAATACACAAGGTCTGATTCTGCTGGACTCAGAGCTCTCCAGCTGCCGAAGCAAAACCGAGTCATGCTCATTTCGTCACCCAAATATTCCATTTAGTACTTCGTTTTGTTTTCAAGTGAAAGCTCAAAATGTTTTGGGTGAAGCTATATCAGAGTGTGTTCCTATTACTATGGAAAGCATAGGTAATTAAAAAAGCATAAAGTAAAGATGGCAGCACAGATTATGTTGAACTGATGGCACCTTCACAATTCTTCTTCCCTTTCTGTAGAATATGGCCTAGGGGTCTCTGGGACAAATTCTGTATGTAAAGTTAGTTTTTGTAGAATGAAAATATGAAAATAGTTTTTTTTCATTGTAAGTTTTGACACAATTATTTAGGTTTCATTTGTTTTTAAATCGGTTTGCTTTTGAAGTACAATCTCATTTTAATTGCTAGTTAAAATTCATAGAATCATAGAATATCTGAGGTTGGAAGAGACCCACATGAATCATTAAGTCCAACTCCACCCAGGACTACCTAAAAAAATAAACCATAAAATTACAAAGTTTCTGAAATTAAGTGCGTTATTAAGTACTTAAAATGTTTTATTCCTCCCAGTTTTTATTTTGTTAAAATCTGGGTGCTTCCAATTTACTGAAGCAAATCTCCCATTGTATTTTAACTGTTTGCATTTAATGTGTAAGATTCTTTGAACTGCTCGGAACAGGCAGCAATTTTCAGCAATTTCTTGGATTTACCAAGAGGTGATCAAAATGATACAGTTGTAGTCATAACATGGAGTAGGTACCTCAACAGTGTTTTAGCTAATGTCTGCAGTAGCCATTGTAAATTACAAAGTTTTTTAATTATTAACAAGTAAAGGCTTTATACTAAAATTATTTGTCAAACAAGTGGCATTTGGACTGTGCGTATTTTTGAGTGGTACTAGATGTCAGTGCAGTATGTGGCTGTAAATGAATCATATCCTATTTGCAGATCTGCCCATCATTTATTCTGCTGTTCTACTTTCTGGTTAGGAAAAATAAATAAATCACCTATGATTCTATTCTGTAATTCCTGGAAGCAATGGTACTGTTTTGTCTACCTCTTCTCCCTCTGTGCTTTGCTGCATTTTCTTCTATTCATTTTGGTGGAGTTAAACAAGATTTTGGTATCAGACAGGTAAGGTCAGCATCGTCACTCTTCCCTGCAACAATGCACATCCCTCTAAAATCGTTCTTTTCCTGATGCATGTGGCAGGTTGTGGAGTTGCATTTGATTTGCTGGCTCATGTGAGATATTGGTGTCAAGGGTGAAGCTAGGCTGACTCCCAGCTAGAAGGCTTTCCCTGAGCTGTACTGTGAATAACATAAGCACAGTAACAGTGGTGTGCTTCTGCTTGCACCCTGTATGTTACATTCAGCTCCTCAGTGCTTTACAGGTATCCTCGAAGCAGCTGTGTGTACTGCACAAGATGTTGTGTGAGGCACAAGTTTCAAATGTATTAAAGAAGTGTAAAGAGACAGTTATCCTAGAATCAGTGCAAAGAGCTCAAAAGGCTTAGTAGTGCTCTTTCAGAGGGAGCCAGCATAACGCTTTTAATTGAGTATTTTTGGTGCAGCACTCTGTCAACTCTCCAGCCCTGTGTTCCTTTATTCCTTGTGTTCAAGCCTGCTGTGGCTCCTTGTCACTTTCCATATCCTCTGTACCAGCCATCTCTTTTCTCAGTGCTAATCTATCCTTTTCCCATCGTCTCCTTCCCATTACTGCACCTTCACATCCTTTTCAAGTGAACTCTTCCCTCATCTGTAATTAGGGCTTGACCTTAGCATTCCTGCCCCTCTTCTTTTCTTCTCCCTGCTGTTGTCTTTGAGAAGAGACTCTGGTAGTGTTCTTCAGCACTAATACAGACAGAAGAAATCTGCACATCTATTTGAGAGTGTGTTTGTCAGCATGAAATTAGTTGTGTGCAATCTCCCTTACAGATAACTTCCCATATGTAGAGTTAAGTCTATGGAATCATGTATGAATTCTATATGTGAATATGTGAAATCAATATGTGAGTATCATCATGTGAATTCTGTGCTGGAATGTACAATACCAGGATAGTAATTAAACTTCTTGGAATGCATGTAGACCAATTCTGAACTTGTATTCTGAACCCTTTTCACCTGTTAATACTTTTCTTTCTTAATTCTAGAGAAATTTGAACCTCCTGAAATACTTTCCGTAAAAAAAATTGCTGGTATAAAGCAGTTGCTCACAGTAACCTGGAAAATACCTGAGGATATTTTACCTGCACAATATTTAAACTGCCAGGTTCGATATAGAAACTTGTATTCAAACTCTTCGGTAAGCTGCTTACATTTTCTTCTGAATGTGGACTTGTTTGTATCTAATTTCTTAATGTTATAGAAAGCTGTATGTAAAAGAGGGAAGAACTAATTGGATATAACGATAAAAGCTTGTCATTTCAGTAGAGCATAATTAGATGTACGTGATCTTAGGTTCATTGTTTTGGTATATAGGATTAATTTTCTCTCCTTTTGATCAATGTCTCTTTTGATACATACTATACTTCTGAATATTTCTGTGAAAGGCTAAGGTATGACCGGTTAAACACAATTGGTGAAATTATTTTATTTTCCTGTTTCATCCTGATGATGAAAACAGCATTTACTTCCCACTACAGTAGTTGAATCAGATTAAGAGGGGCTAATTACATATTAATCTTCAAGTATAAATTTTGCAAGATAGAAAATGAGGGAAGTTATTTTTCTGAATCTACCTTTCTGACACTTAAATGAAGGAGTGTTGTAAGAAAACATAATTTTATTTAGACTATGTCTTCTTTCAGATGGATTATTCCAATCCTTTTCAGTATGGAAGTGAATCCATTTCCAGTCATACGATTTCCTATTTCAAAATTAAGAATAGGTCAGGTTCTTTGAACTTTTTTTTTATGCTCATTAAACTGAGGTGCCTTTCTTGGCCTTGGTTATTAATTTATTTTTAACATATTATAAGTTTAATTCTGGGAGAGGAGAAGAAATCACCAGGGTAACTAATTGTAGTTGTCAGACCTAAAGTTCCTGATGCTGAAGTGCTTTTTAATTAGCATCCTCCTCATGTTCTTATGGCAAACATTTTTACTGTAGTCAATCCAATGGCAATGGCCAATGAAGACAGCATCAAACAATCAGATATAGAAGCCATTTTTCTGTCTGTTGGAACAAGTATGGAAAAGAAAGATTGAGCAAATGACAGCTGTTTTCTTAATCTTAAACCTTCCTACCAAAAAAAAAAATAAAAAAAAAATCTGTACTTTGCTGTATACTGTAATTATTGAGTTAAAAAAAAAATAAAAAATTACCAGTTTTTCTACCTGCATGCACTAAGTTTATAATTAAATATTGTTCACAGCCATTTGGCAAGTTACAAAAAGCTAGACTGGGATATTTGCTGTTCTACTTAATGTTCTGCAGGAGATTAACAATAATTTTGAAGTTCTTTTTGCTATAGGTTGGCTAAGAAGTCTTGTTATCTACCAGAGTGCTGTAGGTCCATGAATTCATTCTCACTGAAGTAGTTTTCCATTTCTGGCAATCAGTTTCTTATGATCAGGTTGGACTAAAAATTTCAGATATTAGAGATCATTTTATTAAGCAGTGTGCTTCTTATTCCGGTGTTTAAAGGAGTGGTGCTTGCATTTTGTTCTAGTATGATTCACTTTTCATTCAACTGGTAGAAGGCAAGAATTTTTTTTCACAAATTTTTGGCAGTATTGTACACTTACACGACATTACTGTTTAAAATTGGCTCCCAAGAAGGAATCTCCCTTACTTTACTTTAAGGTAAAGCTTACTTACCTTAGCTGACGTTGTAGAATTTAGGCCAGCTTGAAAATTAATTGTAGCCTGTTTCTGTTTCAGTTTGAAATTGGAGAGCTTATGATCAATTTTTGCAATTTGGAGGAGAAAACACTAATGTTACTGTAGTGATTCTACACCTTGTTCTGTACAGGAACACTTAAATCTTTCCGTAGTGCCTATTTTTTGCTTCTACTTTGTGTTGTCAATCCAGATGGGTTGATACATCAGATCTAATATTTTCATGTCTCCTTTCACTTTTTGTTTTGGAACAAAGATCTAGTTTCCCACTTCAGTGGGACCTTTTTAAGACAGGAGGAAGTTAATCACCTTGTCCTTACTTTCCAAGAAGATATTGCATCAGTGACTTCTCATGCTTTTGTCTTCCTTCACCATTTAAAGGCACCATTTTCCATGCTTTGGGGACACCTCTTTGGGGTGTCCTACAGCCACATTGTTACATGTGTCTATGGGCTAGAAGACCCTGTAACTTGAAAAACAGAAGAAATAAATATCCTGCTGGCTCACAGGCTCAGGTGATCACTGCCTCCCCAGGGATGCATCTGCTGTAAGGTGCAGATTACCTGTGGTGATCATTGGCTTTAGCAGTCCTCAGTTACTTCCCAGTTCGTAGAATCATAGAATATTCTGAGTTGGAAGGGACCTCCAAGGATCATCGTGTCCAACCCCTGGCACCACACAGGTCTACCCAAAAATTCAGACCATATGACTAAGTGCACAGTACAAACGCTTCAGTTCCCTGCTGCTGGGAACTACAGTTATCCAGGACCTCCTGCACCAGCACAGCTGCTCTGCTGTTGCTTGTGAGCCGCACACAGTTCAAGCCACAAGGTCAGTCAGTCCAGACCTTTGGCTGAAACTTCTCATTCTGGAATTTTACAAGAAGATGTTATGAAGAAAAATGAAATTAAAAGGAAAAAAAAGTGATTTTTGTTCATGCATCTGCTTACAGGAAATTGACAATGTCGCAGTAACTTCTGAAGAGAAAGTAGTATCACTTAATCTCACAGGTCTGTGGGACTCCACAGAGTATTCAGTTGCTGTTCGGTGTATTGGTGTTGAATCAAAATTCTGGAGCGAATGGTGTAGAGAGAAAACAGCAAGCACAGAGGATAAAGGTAAGGTAACTATGTTGTGTGCTTTTCTTTGGGTATTCTTTGAGGAATTAGGATTTAATAATAGCAAACAATATTTTCACCATATTCAATCTATTGAATTTATAATTCTGTTGTTTAAGCAAAACAAGTGTGTATTTTATTTAAATATAGAAGAAGGAAAACTGCAAGACAGATAAGGAGAGAAAGAGGTCTGAAAGGTAATTTAAATGCAAAAAATACAAGGCTAAGGAAGAAAATGAGTAAATAGGAAGAGAGGAAGAATTAGGGTGTACATGGAGAACGAACATGGGCAAAGTAGGATAGTAGCAGAAAAGCAGTGTAGCAAGTATGTCCAGCAACATGAATCAGAGAAATTAAATTACCAGTCGTAAAACAAGATAATGTGCTTTAACCCTGGTTGGCAGCTAAGAACCACACAGCTGCTTGCCCACTTACCTTTCAGTAGGATGCAAGGGAAAATCAGAAAGGTAAAAGCAGGAAAGCTTGTGGCATGAGACAAAGACTAGGTAAAGCAAAAGCTCTGCATGCAGGCGGGCAAAACAAGGAAGTCATTCATGATTTTACATCAACAGGCAGATGTTCAGCAATGTCCAGGACCGCAGAGCTCATAATGTGTAACAGCTTTTTGGGAAGACAATGCCATCACTCCAAATGTTCCCCCTTTCCTTCTTTTTTCCATGGCCTTTATTGCTGAGCACAGGGTCATATGGCAGGGAATATTTATTTGATCCATTTGGGTCAGCTCTCCTGGCTCTGTTCCCTCCCAGCTTATTGTGCACCCCCAGTCTGCTCGCTGGCAAGGCAGCAAGAGAGAAGTAAAAATGTCCCTGGCTCTGTGTAAGCGCTACACAGCATCAAATAAAATGTTGGTGTGTTAGCAACGTTATTTTCATCATAAACGTGAAATACAGCATCATCTGAGCCTTTGTGAAGAAAATTAACTCTATGCCAGTCAAAACCAGGACATAAGACTAGAAAATCATCTCTAAAACTTAACAAAACAAACCAGAAGGAAGCATATGGAAAGAACAAGAAAAAATTCTATGAGAGATGATACATAGGTTTAGAGAGAACTTTTAAATGTCCAAAATCTTAAAAAATAGAGCCTAAATAAGTGACTAGAACATTGATAAATTTGAAATTATTACATAAATCAAGTATTTATACACACACAATGAACCTTTCTCAGCCCCTCTTTCTAGCACTGTTTACTCCAAAATGAACCGAGCTATTAGAGTCTATCACATATTCTAAGAAAAACAACAAAAAAATTTAATTGCTATTTTATGTAATGTTGTCAGTAAATGTACCATAGTCATCTAAGGAGATAGTACGTGCTCTTTTTTTTCCTTAATCTCAGTAAAATGTCGGTCTTTGGTAAAATACAGCAATTAACAAAAAAAGAAAAAAGATGAAATAAATATTCTGTGAGTGTTAAGTGGTAAGTGGTTTCAGAAATTTGAAAAAAATTATATATTTTGAAGAGGGAAGTTGCTAGCTGCATAAAAAGGGAAAAGCTGTACTAGTTAGAGAAAAAAGGCACAACATTAGAAATAGAAGTAAGTTGCTCTTTTTAGTAAGTTGCTCCCAGACTATTTTTGAAATTCTTTGATTATTTTTTACCACATTATGATATCTTTGTAATAATAACAACAAATTTCAAGATTTTGTTTGTTTTTGAATAGCTCCCTCAGGAAAAGTGGATTTGTGGAGGATAATTAACTCTTCACACCCAGCTGGAAATAGACCTGTACATCTTATGTGGAAGGTATATATGGTTTTAATGAATTGATAATCATATACTGCAGCTGGTGGTTAACTGGAGTGTTTTAGTGTTGTAGGATGTATAACCAGCAGGGGGATTTGTTCTCATCAGGAAAAAAACACCTCACTGAAATAAATCAGAACTGAAAAGCCTTTTAAGAGTTACACTCTTCTATGATCTTGTAACATACCTTCTTAGAATGAAATACAGTGTTCTGAAATGTTTTTCAAAATAACATTAATAACAATCTGGAAATAAAACATGCTAAGTGTTTCCCGGACTGCTGTTCTGAAGTAGTGAGATATTCTGAGGAATCCATATTGAGAAGCAAAACAATGGACTTTCTTGTAAGTTAGACTATGTCTTCATTCAAACAACGCAGACATTCCAACCATCCCTCCCACCGTATCTTTGTAGCATGTGTATTTTTAGTTTATAGAGATTCAGTGGTCTTTAATCAAATATATAGTTTTGATAATACAAATAATGCTGTGAAACGCTTACTAATACATTTTTTTAATAGCTACTAGGCAACATTCCACACCCTGGGAGAATTCTAGGCTACAAAATACAGTATTTTCCAGAAAACAATGCTGCGCTTCAAATGACAAAGATCACCACCAATAAGAAAATTGTATTACCTTTGAAAGAAGAGGCATATATAATATCTGTTACTGCCTATAATTCTGCTGGAAGTTCTCCTGCAGCTGTTTTGAGGATTCCATCCACTGATGAAAAACGTAAGATTTCTAAGTATTGTGATAGATTTTTCTCTTTACAAAGAAATTATCTTCTTGATTTCTGTTTAAGTTCTGTTAGTGGAAGCAAAGTGGTGTTAAGGACTTTTGTCTTAGAACCATATAGAGAGTCATATGATGTATAAAGATATGTATAGTCTATTACTCTTTACTAGAACAATATTATATCACTTGTCATATTTTCTATCAGATATTGTGTATCTGATATATTTGATGTATCAGAGTGTGTATTGATATAATAATCTTATAGACGATTGTTGTTGTGGCTTTTGTTTTAACTTATCACTGTTAAAATACCAGCATTTGCTGATGTGTTATTAAAATTTGTCGCAGTACTTTCTGTTTTGTTGGTATGTTTCAATCCTGAATATGAAATTATATTCTCAGCAAACTATACCTCACCTGTCTACACTGCCATAAAACTGGTTACTGCACTACATCTAATAATGTTATTTAAACAAAGATGTGCTTGATAGAAGTCCGTAAGATGCCTTAACGGAAGCAGAGAGAAACATTGTCTTTATTCTTACTTTGTATATACTCCCAAAGTAACCAATTCTGCCCACTGACACGGACACAAAGCTGCACTGCTCTAGCACAGCAGCTTTGTTCTTTGGCTTTTATGCTTAATTCTGATATCTCTGTTATCCTTGTATTGCCACATCTGGCTGCCTACCCATGATCTGGGAGAAAAGTTGCATTTGACACACTGTTGAGTCACTTCTATATCAGTTGTTTGTGAAAAAAGTATAAATGCCCCTCTGGAATTGCTCAATTAAATTCCAGTCTAATCAGAAAATTGGATATGTAGACGTGATGTCATCTTGTCCTGGTGGTTGCTGGCTACCTCTCTATCCAATTTTGTATTCCTCAATAAATGTATCTCTCTCTCTTTTTTTTTTTTTCCCATGCTGTGACATTATTTTTTTTAAAACTACATATATATATTTATTTACCTTGATGTTGCTAGGTCTTTTCTCCCTCTGCTCTTGGCTTGGACTGGCGTACATGTATGCTTCGTTGGGTTAGAATCTGGCTGGATAGCTGGGCCCAAAGAGTTGTGGTGAATGGAGTCAAATCCAGTTGGAGGCCAGTCACTAGTGATGTTCCCCAGGGCTTGGTGCTGGGGTCAGTCCTCTTTAATATTTAATCAATAATGCCATCGATGAGGGCATTGAGTGCACCCTCAGTAAATTTGCAGATGACACCAAGCTATGCGCATGTGTCAATCTGCTCGAGGGTAGGAAAGCTCTGCAGGAGGATCTGGATAGGCTGCACCGATGGGCTGAGGTCAACTGCATGAAGTTTAACAAGGCCAAGTGCCGGGTCCTGCACCTGGGGTGCAATAACCCCAAGCAGAGCTACAGGCTGGGAGAGGAATGGTTGGAGAGCTGCCAGGCAGAGAAGGACCTGGGAGTGATGGTGGACAGTCGGCTGAATATGAGCCAGCAGTGTGCTCAGGTGGCCAAGAAGGCCAACGGCATCCTGGCTTGTATCAGAAACAGTGTGACCAGCAGGGCTAGGGAGGTGATCGTCCCCCTGTACTCGGCTCTGGTGAGGCCGCACCTCGAGTACTGTGTTCAGCTTTGGGCCCCTCGCTACAAGAAGGACATCGAGGTGCTTGAGCGGGTCCAAAGAAGGGCGACAAAGCTGGTGAGGGGCCTGGAGAACAAGTCCTACGAGGAGCGGCTGAAGGAGCTGGGCTTGTTCAGCCTGGAGAAGAGGAGGCTCAGGGGCGACCTTATCGCTCTCTACAGATACCTTAAAGGAGGCTGTAGTGAGGTGGGGGTTGGCCTGTTCTCCCACGTGCCTGGTGACAGGACGAGGGGGAATGGGCTTAAGTTGCGCCAGGGGAGTTTTAGGTTAGATGTTAGGAAGAGCTTCTTTACTGAAAGGGTTGTTAGACACTGGAACAGGCTGCCCAGGGAGGTGGTGGAGTCACCATCCCTGGAAGTCTTTAAAAGACGTTTAGATGTAGAGCTTAGGGATATGGTTTAGTGGGGACTGTTAGCGTTAGGTTAGAGGTTGGACTCATTGGTCTTGAGGTCTCTTCCAACCTAGAAATTCTGTGATTCTGTGAATTGCAAATTGCATCTATTACCTCTATTCTACAGGCTGATGGTTCACTTTTGCTTCACTGTCACTCATTATGCTGCTTACTTGTTTTATTGTTTTCCTCTTGCCTTTTGATGCCCCAATCAAAGCTTGCTTATATGCACTAGCTGCAGCCAACAAACTGTGAAATTTGGATCCCAAAACAGGGACCTGTCATTGATTCTGTATGTGTAAATCTCTATAGGTATCACCACCTCATTTTTTTTTTTGCCCCCCTCACCTTCTTTTAATTGTTAAAATTCTTACATGCTTCATTTTAAGGCATTTTGAGTACATTTATGTGAATGTATCTATAAAGTCACTTTTTGTTTAACCTTAGCTAAAGATCATACTTTCTAAAGAAGCAACCCCAGGTTGCTTTAACTAAACTGTATTCTTGCTGCAGTTTTTACAAAGATAGAATTGCTGACGTTTTCTGTTAAATTTTTAGCTCCTGAGATTATTGAAACGGTAAGGACCTTTACAACAAATGAAGAAATGATTGTGGAATGGATAACCTCTGAACCAGAAGTAACTGAATATGTCGTTGAGTGGTATGAGGAGCTGGAGACAGATCCTTTCAGTAGATCATGGCAGTATATATCAAATTCTACAAAGTGGAAAGCTAACAAAAGTATGTTCATTTACAAGTTATGATTGTAACAACATACAGATACATAGACATTTATGTATATTTATTTATAAGTAGACCAGAAAGAACAAAGGGAGATGAGCTTGCAAGCATCTGTTTTAGAAATAACATTTGCATTATTGTTCTGCTTTAAGTCAAATAGATCACTTTCATACCTGATTTAACATATGTGCTTAAAGGAACAAAGGGAACAAGATACCTAACGTTAACAGGAATTGAGCATCTGCATTCATATCACCCACATCTGAAAGTCTCCCCCTTTATCCTGATCTGGAACATCATACTGTAAATTGTATCACATTATACACAAAATGTAATATTATTGAGATTTGAAAGATTGTATAAAATTTAATATTAAAGGTTTTGAACTCATGCAGCTTTCCTCAGACCATTAAAAAAATAACAACCTTATTTCATGCTTTATTGAAATTCCACCAGTAATTTAATAGCATTTTTAACTCTCAGATTTTCACAAAACATGCAAGATGGTGTTTGTTTCCATATTAGATTAGGATACAGGTTTCATGTTTAAGCAATTTGGTAGGTTGGTGGCCTAGCATGAAATTTGCAGTGTCTATTCTAACAGAAAAATCTAGATCCATAAAACTGAATTCAAGGGAGAAGATTGTGTCTTCACATGTTTTAGAGAACAAGAAAACTACAAGAGAATTTCATAGAGAATTATTCATTAAAATAAGCAAATGGAGTGACTGATCAACTTGGCATGTTATATATAATCATACAATCTTTCCTGTCCCTGGAGATGTTCAAGGTCAGGTTGGATGGGGCTTTGAGCAACCTGATCTAGTGGGAGATGTTGCTGCCTGTGGTGGAGGGGGGTTGGAACTGAGTGATCTTTAAGGTCCCCTCCAACCCAATCCATTCTATGATTCTATGATACATAATCAAATTTGTGTTAGGACCTAAAGCATTCCTCAGAGGTTTCAGTGGCCTTATAATGCACTGCTAAATAGGTGAGGAACTGCTCACCATTTTCTGGTAGGAGCTGACTTTTTTTTTTTTTTTTAATTGATAAACTCTGAATAGTAATGATCTGGCTGTGTATGTAGTTTCCATGAAAAATCAGTGTGCAGAGTACATGTTATAAGTACAAAGGCAAAACTGTAAGCCGTATTATATCTATATGTTTTATGCGGAGAACTGTGAAAGTACTCTTTCATTTTTTTTCAGAAATCTTTAAACCATTTGTATGCTATAACATGTCAGTGTATCCTCTTTATGGCAATAAAGTAGCAGCTCCATATTCCATACAAACTTATGTTCAAGAAAAAGGTACGTATTTTGTGATGTTGTGAAAGGTATGCTGTTAGGTTGTATTTTCTTTGATAAATTAGGTACTGGCATTATTGAAGGACAGAAGCAGATGCTGAGGAAGGTTCAGGTACAGCTCTGCTTGAACGTCATCCATTGGTTGCAATGCTTATGTACGGTATACAACACACTTGGAAAGAGTATAGCTAAAAAGACTATTTTATTTTATTTTATTTTATTTTATTTTATTTTATTTTATTTTATTTTATTTTATTTTATTTTATTTTATTTTATTTTATTTTATTTTATTTTATTTTATTTTATTTTATTTTATTTTATTTTATTTTATTTTATTTTATTTTATTTTATTTTATTTTATTTTATTTTATTTTATTTTTAATTGGCATCTCTTAAATGCTGCAGCTGCATTTAGATATATAAGTACACTTGATTTTAATGATGCAGTTGACTGAGCTAGTTGTGCTCCTAATAAAAGAGAGATTCTACTCACAGAATAAAATTAATAGTTTGAAAAGCTTGCTTTTTGTCCCATTGTATAATATTAGAGAATATGTGCTGTCCTGGATATAAAAAATGGTAAGGACCCATGAAGTTTATGGTTGAACAGAAACTGTAAATGAAATAGCATTTCAGAGGCAGGGAGGGAATATTTCTTTGTAGAAGTTTAATGTGAATGCAGTGATTTGTACAGGCAGCTGCAAGAATCTAATTTACTGACAATTTTAAGATTTTAGGTGAAAATTTTAATGTCTGTGCCTTTAGATCTGTGTAAATGTGCACACACATTTCACAGTATATTATTGTTAGTTACTTGAAGAGGTAACAGACTGTTGTTTGATAGAGTAATACTAGCACAACTTGGTTTTGAATGCTTTCCTGGTCATAGTGAGCTGTAACAGTATTAAAAGTTGACAGAGAATGGGAAAGAGGATAAAAGTTTGGGTCTGTGTCAGAGCACTAATAAGACATTTACTTGTACATTTGCTTTCTTAATGTTCCTGGTATGTGTGAGGTAACATATGGATAATGCTGTGACATGTAGACAGTTTTTCTAATTTATGATGCTTCTGTGCAGAGCCATCAGAAGGTCCTGTGGCTGATACAGATGTTCTAGGCAAAAATGAAGTTGTAATAAAATGGGAGGAGATTTCAAAAGATAAAAGAAATGGCTTTATCACCAACTATACAATATTTTATAAACCTGAAGGTGGAAAAGAGTTGAGTAAGTATACATTAAACATCAAAGATTACAACAGGGCTATGACAATCTGCTGTCTGATTATAATAATTATTTTTTAGCTATTAGCATACTTTGTTATTATGTATTTATACTTTACAGTTTATACTTTGTTATTATGTATTTGTTACATAAATATGTCTGAAAATACTGGTACTAAAATGTGGCTTACATAAAGGACTGATAGTTTTAGCTGAGATGTTGGAGAATTCTAGTGAACAGTCCTTGCTTTAATATTGCATGTTTATTCTTGCTTGGTTTCTTTATCTGTTTTGAATTTATTTTGTACAGCACAGCTTTCTGTTAGTGAATCTTAATAGTGAATCCCTTCTGCATCTTTGATGGGATCCAGATCTGCCGAATCTTCAATTGTTAAACTTAGTGTGTGACAGCATTGCCATTCCTCTTCTTTTTCCTCGACTTGGATGGCAGCTCATATATGAGAGACTTTTTACAACCTGTTCTCCATAATGTTAAAAAATAAAATAAAGTTTATGCCAAATTAGAAAGTATTATTTGCCAGATATTTGTAGTTTTTCACTTTTACATAAGTATTAGTCTCTTTCCTTCTTCAGATCTCTCTGTCAAGACACACATTTGGAGCCAGTTGAAAAAAATTGTAGTAGAGACAGAGGAATTAATCTGCGGTTAGAATAAATTGGCGAAGCATAGATTCTGTGCCAATTCAGGAATTTGAAGCACTTGAGGGTTCAGTAAGTTTATAAGTTCCATGTTTGTCCTTGGAAGGATGCCTTTCCCAAGTCCTGAACTTCTAGAACAGCGTGGTAGAAATTTACTGGTAGAATTATTTTCACAGTGGATTCAAAATAAAAACAAAGTAGCAAACAATAGCCAAGAAGCAAAAACAATCTGCCAGGAAATAATTTCTATGGACATAGTTTTTTAGATTAATTTCTTCAGATGAGCTTAATGTTTTGTGTTTGATATTGCTTTCCTGCTCTGTAGGCTGGTAGCACACCTTTTTAATAATCGCCTATATCAAAAACAGCATCCATGCAAAGTGTGCATAACCAGTATAATCCTATCTATTCAGAACATCTAGCATGAATCTCAGCAGAATCTTTTGTGAGACGTGTTTCAGTGATCTAAATTTCTTCTTCCTGAATAGTTTATCAAGAGTACTGTTGGATCATTCAATGCCTTTTAAGTTGTTCTTTTTCCTTCTTTGTTTTAGACATCACTGTTAGCAGAAACCTAACATCTTTCTTTAAACAATCTCAAATTTACAAATCTTGACATGTCTTCAGTTGCTTCTGGATAACCAGTTCAGAGCCAGGGCAAGAATATTTTTGGTAATTTGTAAGTTAGAAAGATGAAGCTATGACAATTTGTGTCAGATTTAGTCTTCTACGTATGATCTTCCTTACCGTGTTAGTTCCTGAATGTGTTAATGCTGAACGTTTTGTGCAGGGACATCCTTAAGACATGCAGCCTCAAACAAAAAATCAAAATTTGTAAAGCATTGCAAAGCTTCTCACGTGAAACACTGTGCCCATTTTAGGACATCGGATTAGTTTCTTAAGGAAAATATTACTAAATAGCAACTCACGGGAGTTAGTCTTAAAAGGCAAAGCCCAACTGTACTGTCGTTTTTTGAGGCTTCCTTGATATCACATCTTTTTGTCACATCTAAGAGAGAACTTTGAGTTTGCGCAAAGGTGATTTCATTGATGGCCTTTAAACTCCAGAACTGTACTTTTCAAACCTTGATTTAAGAGAAACTTAGCTCAATCTCAGGGTATGTTGCAGTGTATCTATTTCCTGAGCATTTCTTGGCTGAGCTAAATGGTGATGTATTAGCTTTGATCTCATTTATCAGAAAATGCTTTAATTTCATAATACACAAATATGTTCTTAATTCTGTTGGCAGACGTAAAATGTTACGATATACATGTATGTCCTGCTTAGAAAAAGTTAAAGTAAAACATATCATACCAATTCCAGGAATGGACAGGGTATTAGAAACATTGAGTTCTATTCAAAAAAGCATTTGGAAACTGGAAAAATTGTGTTGTTTTTGGCTAACTTCCTCTAATTTTATTGGGGTGATACTGCAGTGCTGGTAGGCTGCATCCTTTTGGATGATCAATGAACTAAAAATATAGTTAAATTTTATGAGCTGCAGAAACACAAATTTCACCAACTGTTTTCAATTTTTTTTTGAGTTTAGGTTCCACAGGTTGTAGAAATAAATTTCAGAAGCCACTGGTGTTGTTTTTTTGTGTGTGTGTGTGTTTTTTTTTTTTTCCTTGTGATAAAATACTTTAAAATGTTTTAAATTTAGCAAATAATTCATGTGATTATTTTTAAAAGTAACTACATAGCGGTTTGTTTTTTTGCTCCAGTTAAGTAACATCAACAAGCATTGTTTGATAACAAGCATTCTACCACAGTGACTGATAGGGTCACTTTGTCAAGTTGTTCAGTCATCTTTAAAAACACTCTGTGTAACATCTTTGTAAAAGATGATAAATAAGTGTACAGTTCTGATATAACACTATCTTTTTTTTTTTTTTAAATCTTTTCCTAAAAAAGATGAAACAGTGAACTCTGATGTTCTGCACCACAGACTGAAGTCCTTACAGGCTAATACACAATATACTGTCTATATCATGGCAAGCAATAGAGCTGGTGGAACCAGTGGAGAGCAAAAAACCTTCAAGACTTTGAAATTCAGTAAGTAATATTCCAGGTTTGTTACTGTTATTTTGAAAAGGAGTTTTGAAGTAAGAAATACAAGAATACAAGATTTCTTTGTTTAGGCATCTGTAAGAGTTATTTTTATCTATTTATTCTTTTTAATGGGTGTTAAAGACAAGGAAGATTCACCAACACTTGCTGAATTTAACTCAATCTCATTGAACATCTTTACAGACTAAAACCTCAGGATAAGAAATCAAAATGCCAATTCTTTTTGCTGTCAGTAAAACCATGGAATACTGTGGATCTTTGGGGGATCATCGTATTCTTTGTGTGCCATCAGTTATGGGATAGAGCGCCTTACTGTTTTTCAAAAAGCAGATGTTTTTGAGTTACTAGAGTTAGTCCACTGAGCCAGATTTTTAATGTGGAGATTGGTGTGACGATTGTGTGCTGGTACTTCAGACACTTCCTCTTTCCTGCTTCTGAAAGAATGTTTTCCATATTTATTAATATTCACAGTGTTGGCTGAACTGATATATGTAAAAGTACAGGAGCTAAACAGGTCCTTGAACAGGTCATGAGACATGAAGCTAACTCTTTTTTTTTTTTTTTTTTCCCAGCTCGTAAATTCATCTTCTAGTTTGCCATTCAGATGCAATATAGGTTAGGCTGTGCTGAGTTTTGGTCTCTATTGCTATCAGGACCTATGTTGGGAGGTACTTGGAAGCAAGGTTGGCAATCGGAACAGTCTGTTTCAGTCATGAGAGTTAACTGTATTTTATTTATATTTAAAGCCTACCTCTGGCATTAAATTTAAAATCTATTTTGTACTAACAGGTAGAAGTGGCACTGTACAGCAGTTTTAGGTGACTCTAAAACAACAACTGCCCAGAGAGGTATTAGACTTCGATATTCAAAGATTGGTTTGGTACTAACACGGACACTAGGCAACCTGATTCTAATTTCTAAGTTGGATATGGTGAATTGCATATGTCCCCTCCCATCTGATTCATTGTGAGATTCAATTAAATAAAGTAATTTTAAAATCTGATACATCTGTTCCTGAGATATTTTGAGAAGTTCCAGCATAGGCCGCTTTTCTGGCTTAGTAACTATGACTTGTTAGATGCAAAATACTCATCTTTTGACACTTTGTACAACGAGTATGGCAGTATTCCGAGTAACTTTAACTAGTTTTGGCAAAACTTTTAAAATTGTGCTAATTAGGTGGCTGATGTTGAAAATCAGCTGTCTTAATGGAATACATAAAGAAATTATAAACATCTGTTTGTTTGTTTGTTTTTTTTCTTTCCTCTAAAGATAAAGAAGACATTATTTTTATTGCTATACCCGTTGGATTAAGCATGTTCTTTCTATTAGGCCTTTGGATAACATGCATTTTGAAAAAACACATGTGAGTACATTTTTCATCTTCTGAAACTGAATTTAGTCTTTAAGTGTAAAAAGCCCATTTTAAAATTTATTTTCTAAATGCTTCTGGGCTGGGTTTCAAACCAATGTCAAATTAGAAAATAGAGCTAATGGAGTAACAACTAAAAAAGCCTAAATATCTTGTAATTGTAGTTAATGTGCTATAGTCCAAAAATAAATATTATTTTTAGAAAATGCAGTAGATGGGGAAAATAAAGGAGAAATCGATTTACTTATTATCTGTATCAGTTTGTGGCAGATGTTACATGCTAGTTGCAATTCTGTGGTCAATCAGGTGAGGGGAGTGCAGTTTAAGTCAGATACTGAAATAATAATGCCAAATGAAGCTGACAGAAATCTTCCTATACTTTCTTAATATATCTGCAAGTACACCACTAGAGCAGGTTTCATGTAACCTGTATTGCTTAGTTACACTAAGATTTACTTTCGTTACTTTGTGACTGTAAAGGAGTTATTAAGAAACTAAAAATTTCATCATGTGAAGCATTTGGATGGTTGATCCATGAGTTTGCATCCATTATCTGTGTATGAAATGTAATGCTTTCATCTACTGTCACAGATGTCCCCTGCCAGATTTTAAATTGCTTTCTTGGAGCGTGGGGACACTGCAAGATCCCAAAGATAGCTGTGATGATTTGTTAAGGTTAAAAATATGCTTTTATGTAGCATGAAGAATGACTGGGTTGTTGGGCTGAAGCTGAATCATAAGCTTAATAATCTTAAATATTTGGGGAGGTTCTTAGCTATGAAAACTGGTAAGTTGATATGTAAGTATAGTTGATGTGATGTGTCATTTCCAACAGTTTTACGTCTTCATCTGTATTGTATATTCTGATTTTTCATAAAAGTAGGAAATGATGCTTTGATCCTGGAGAATACTTTGAGATGTACTTTAGTGTTAATATTCTTGTGTGGATTGAACTGCAATGTAAAAAGTCAAACTATGACCAGGTTTTCATTCGCTTATTAAACGTAATATGAACAAATGATTCATTTTGTTTCCTGTTTACTACTCCATCAGAGTAGTAAAAAGTGAAGCTACAGCTTCATCTATTGTGTTTTATCTGCTGATGAAATAAGAACTAAGTGTAAATTTAGTGTGGTGTAATGTTAGGGACATTTTCACTAGAACAAAGGTAGCTTTTCACTGAGGAGCTACCAGAAACATGATCACAGCAGCTGTTACACACAGCCTTTTTCTGGCATACTATTACTTAAATTACCACATGTTCAGAAAGTTGACTATGCATTAACAATTCTTCTGCAATTTCTCTGTAGAACGAGATTTTTACTTGACATCTTTTCTAATAAAAATTGATATGAGGGAAAATGATTTTAATGAAAAGTACTGTGTCAGTGTAAGAAAAATTTCCTTTGTGAAAGTTTGGTATTTTGACCTCTTTGATTTTTATTCCTTTAGCTTTTAATAATCTATTTTTCATCAGTTGACTAAACATTATTTCTCAATATTAGGTTTAAAAAGGTTTGCTGGCCTGATATACCCAACCCTGCAGAGAGCGTTGCTGTGGAATGGCCTCTTGATGCATCCATGGTAATAGCTGACATTTTATTTATTAAAGAAGGGATCAAAGGGGCGGAAGACAACTCCTTCTCTAACATTAATTTTATGACTAACTGAAAGAAAAAGAGTATTTGATTTCATTCTTTTAAGTATTATAAAATGCTTTTAGTTGTATTTCAAACAAGTAGAAGGATGCATCTTTATAAAGTATAGTAATTTAATTCTTACTTACATGATAACAGGAAATAATGTTTCGGAATTATGAAGTTATTGGTGTACATGGCTCATTAAATACAGCCAATTTTTCACAGGTTATTGAGTCTATTGACTCAAATCACCACATCTGGATATTTCCTCCCTTCTCCACAAAAAACAGTCTAGTACAACAAATAATCAGATTTGGTAATCCTGAGGTATACGGTTGTACTAACTTTTACATGTTTTTAATTTATTGATATTTATGCTTATTGAAGTTCTCATGAGTATTTGAATGGAGTTGATCAGGGCTCTGTAACAAGCATAATCTGTGGAGAATGGGATTTAAAATTTTGTCTGTAAAAGGGTTATTTAGAGTGGAAAAAATGGAAATAGTTCAGGTTCCATGATATGAAAGTGTTTAACAAATGGATAGAATAACAATGTAATTTTTAATACTCATTTAAATATAACTGCATCACAGCTGAAATGCACACTCTTTATTAATATACTTTTAATTTTAAAAGTTAAACAGATCAAGTGGAAATATTTTATATATTAAAAGATCTTCTGATACATTATCTGTCTTTATGTAACTTTCAAATTCATCTCTTTGCACTGACAGAATAATTCGTTTTTGAAGGGAGTGACATATGAGGATAAAACCTTAGGCCTGGAGGACTTAAATGTTTTGGAAGATTGCTTTCCTGAAGAAGATCATGAAGGATTATTGCTAATGAACTGTGAAAACCATGTTTCTGAGTGTACTGATACTAATGCAACAGCCGTACAAAATATCTCCGAACACAAAATAACTCTGTTAAATGGAGAAAAAAAGATACAGTATAATGAAGAACATGAAGTTGCTAAATGCCTTTCACCATCTATGCCTTATGTAATTACCGGTGAAGATTTCAGAAGTCAAATGCATTCAGCTTTGATACCAGCCAAGAAAATCCAACCCATAGAAATGCTGGAAGACGATTTACGTGAAACCCAACAGATTTCAGATAAAAAGGAAGAAAGTGATAACGAAGAAGTTTTAAAGCTGGAAGATTTCAGTGAAAAAACATTGTTCAACCCATACCTTAGAAATTCTGTTAAAACAAGGGAATTTCTGATTTCTGAGAACTTGCCAGAACATAGTAAGAATGAACCCAAGAAGCAGCCAACTGTTTTACCTGCTTTTCAACAAAATGCTGTAGGACAATCCTATGTAACACTGGACATGGTTGGTCTGGCCACAGCTCATTAGCAAGAGAAAACTTCCCGTGTACAGGCCCATCTTGGCAGTGCTGCTTTTACATATTCATATGTGCTAACCTGGACGATCATGGTTACTTTGGATGAAATTATCCCATTTCTTTGAACAGCTGTGAAGTTATCAGTGCACTGTGTTTATACCTGCTGAGGTTTTAGTGTTGTGGTGTTTTTTTATTTTTATTTTTTAACCATGTAGATGTGTCAGTAGTGAGGCGTAGGAGGTAAGGTAACTTCTGTTCTTAGTTCTTGATTTTGATTTCCACTGTGACAACATCCATCAGTGCAAATTGCTCACTGATTTCCCCCCAGGCAACCAGTTGCAATGACTGAGCACTGTTAGGGCAATGTGCACAAACTTGAGGGGAGCCAGTATTTGCCAAATACTTCCTTAAGTTACATGAAGTAGAACCGCTTTACTATTTTTATCCTCCCCCCACCTTGTTTTTTATCTGGTTTTATGTGTAGCATTCCTCCTGTTCTGCAAGTAGTTGGCAGACTTCAGTAATCATCCTTCTGCATCCTGAACACTGAATCAGCAGTTTGGCTCATAGTTTCCATGTCTTTAATGAGGGGATATGTTGTGTATATGCTATTGATTTATCAGCATTTTGGGAAATACAGGGTTATGTTGGCTTGCTGCCTTCCCTTTCTCTTGTTTTTAATCACACTCCATATTTTGTGCTACCTCTGTTTCCTGCTTATTCACCACTTTTTTTTATTTTTATTTTTATTTTTATTTTTATTTTTATTTTTATTTTTATTTTTATTTTTATTTTTATTTTTATTTTTATTTATTTTTATTTTTTTACTGTTTACTGCAAGATATCTTCTAATCTTCTTGTTACTATGCCCTTAATTTCTCCTGTTTTAAAACTGTTTTCCTCAGCTGGAGTTTCAGAATTTCAATCTGGAAAAGAAAGCTAAGTATTGCATCTTCTGTTAGAATAAGCACTGAATTTATATCTAGGAAAGTGTTTTTCTTAGAGGTAGTGGAAAAAAACACCAAATCTACCAGATAAACATAAATATCCTCTGATAACTGATTAAGTATTAGAGATTTCTACAAGCAGACTGTAACTTCTGTCTTTTGTTTTATGATTCTGAGAGGTCAAAACCACTTACAGTTTTGATTGTATATAGGCAGCAAAAGTATTAGGCAGGAAACTCCAAGTTATTTGTTTTCAGTAGGAAAGAGACTATCGCTGTAAAATTCTTACTAAAATATTTTATTATATTATAGGTAAAAAAGAAAAGATGGAGTCAACTCTAAATAAAGTGTTTAAAAGGTGTTTGGTGTGACGTTTGTGGCAAATGTGGTCACTCGAAGACTTTAAACTATTTTGGAAGTATTTAAAGGCTTGACATTATCACTCTTGTGCATGACTATGGACTTCTTCAGGGGAGAAAAAGAACAGGAGTAGTGGGGATGGAAAAAGGAGACAAAGAAGAGTAGGCATAGAAAGCCTCCCCTGTGTAGGAAGAGGAGTGGGAGGCTTATGCCCTGCGAATTGTTAGTAGGTGTATCTTCTTTACTTACTGGATTTTTAGTTAAACATTCTGTGTTTTGTTAGTAGAGTTACTACTATTTACCTCCACAGCGTTTAAAATTCTCTGAACAGAAATCCCACAAACTTACATAGATTAGCCTAATGGACAAAATTAGCACATTCCATAACCATATGGAATATAGAATCCATATTTCTGTGTTCCTCATGTCCTTTAAAATCCCCTAAATAGGGGGAAAAAAAAAAAAAGTGCACTGGTAATTAATGCAGGGGAAAGAAGGAGTCTTTCTTCCTCCAGTTAGCACTCCTGTTTGGTGCCTGCTCCTCCACAGGTGATGTGATTGCTGCTGAACAGCTGCTGTAGGCATTGAGCTAGTGGTCTGTCCCAGATAACGCTGTTAAGATTGTGTTTTTCTTACCACTATGTGTATTTAATTACAAATAACATACTATCTTTTACTGTTCCTGAAAAATGAATTTATTATGAATAGATTTCTCTTTTTGAGATAGCTGATAACCTCTTAAGGTAGATGTTTCAACTTGTGTTCACAAGTGAGGACACAAGTATGTTCACAAGTTGTTCAGAAGCATTTCATTGCTAGTCCAAGTTTGGTATCTCCTGCAGCAGAGGTAAATGCTTACATGCGAGAGAGCCCTAATAAGAGCACAGTGTATGTGAGGGGCTCACAGCTGCTTTTCCTGGCTCAGCAAATGAGTTCATCTCACCCTTGCACAGTCATTTCAACAATTTCCTGCTTTCTTTCTTTTCTTCATTTATTGCACAGGTCTGCCATTAGACTCCATGCTTGTATGTAGCTTTAAGATTTAACACTGTAAGATGCACTCCAGTTATAATCCACCCTGCTGATGTTAGTTACTCCTCAGGGCAGACAGGACTTGAGAATTTAATGCCATTTGAAATTTGATCCTGTTACAGGCTTCTTACAGGGCACAGCTTACCTTAAATTACTTGCGTGGACATTTTAATTCCTCCCCCCCTTTTTATCTCCCATTTGAGTTTCAGACCAAGAAGATACATAAAAGAGATACTGCTTTATATACCTGTCTTTACCGTATAGGCTTGTATAAAAAAAAAAAAAAAAAAAAAAAAAAAAAAAAAAAAACAGAAAAAGAAAAAAATTATTATCAGAACAACAAAATCTAATCTAAATCTCCTCTCTTTCAATTTAAAGCCCCACTGCATTCAATTTAAAGCCATTCCCCGTTCCCCTATCACTCCACTCCCTGACAGAGACCCTCCCCAGCTTTCCTGTAGCCGCCTTTAGGCACTGGAAGTTGCTCTAAGGTCTCCCCAGAGCCTTCTCTTCTCCAGGCTGAACAGCCCCAGCTCCCTCAGCCTGTTGTCACAGGAGAGGTGCTCCAGCCCCTTGATCATCCTCATGGCCCTCCTCTGGAGTTGCTCTAGTGGATCTATGTCCATCTGGTGTCTGTGTGTTTACTGTACCTGCTGCTCTGCTGTTAGATTGACACTGGTATGTGCCTTGGCTTGAGCCCCCGATGCTGGAGGGAGGAAGAGGAAGACTCTGCCTAGTTCAAGGCTGTCTCCCCTTTCTCTGTCAGCACATCTGCATTTCCCATACAGGAAGGTGGCTGGCTCCTGCCCTTCTCATCTGAGTGCAAACCAACACTTCAGCAGCACAGATGATCAAGAAGCTTGAGGCACAGGCAGGCTCCAGTCCCGAGCTACAGTGATAATGTAGATGTTATCTTCCAGTGCCTCCATCGCGCAGATTATTACTGTGGGCGGTAACAAGATAATGACTTTAAATGCTCCGCGACTGCAGCTGTGATAGGCAACTGGCATGGTTCAGCTGAGCAGATCTTTGCAAACAAAGATCCGAGGGCCACAGTGTTTAGCTGTATTTCGTATGTTTCAAAATGACCGGGAGGAGCAGGGGTGAGAGGTCCTGCTGACTGCAGCCTCGTGCACAAACCATGGTGCATGCAATGTGCTGTGCTCATGAGAGTGAGGTTTCAGCTGGTAGTTTCTGCAGTTACCAAACGTCCAAAATTGCCAGTATCAACAAGAAAAGATAATGAGCCAACTCTGATGCTCTACTTCAGAGAAAGCTCAGATTTTCATTTTGAAATCTCCCTCAATGGATTTGTGTAAGAGGGCTTTGTTTTGACAGCCATGGGGTTTCAGGTATTAGAGGTAGCATTTTAACTTTGCCAGCCAAGATGTCAAAACACAAAACAGTGAAGATTCAACAGCTCAATGTGTGGGAGGTTGTTTATGTATCAAGCAATGCAATTCTGAATCTCAGTGATCACACACACGATGCAGTGTTTTAGAAACAAATGCCACGCTCCTTATTACAAGACATAAGCTGAGAATTTGTATTCAATGGCTCTATGCTTTGGTAGGACCTATTCTGAAATATTCAGGTAAGATACTCTGCCAAATGTTAATTGGAAATAACACACAGAGTTTATATAACATGTACATGATTTGCGTCTGTGTAAAATTGATCTTTAACATGCTGAATCCACTGCAAAGAGAGTCAAAGTCTCATTTTGCTTCTCTGTGTCAATGTTTGTGATGTTCATAGCAGGAGGCAGGGCACATCCTCAGTGCAGGCAAGCCTTGAGCCCACAGGTATATGGACTTAGTCTAAATTCAAGTAGTTGCTAATAGCAATGCCTTTTGCCTCCTGGCAAGGGAGAAGTAAAGAAGTAAAGGAATAAATAAGTTCTTGTGTTGTGTTTGTCTTATGGCAATTCAGCATTTATCAGAAAATGTGCTACCCTCATATAAATAGAGCATGTCTAAAGCAATTGTTTGTCTAAAATATTGTCCTGTATACAGAGGATGACATTTGTAAATGGCGCAAACACTAAGCATACTTTTTGTAATACTAGCTGTTCTTAATCATAATGTTTACTGAGTGTATTTATTATAAAATGCAAACTCTACCCTTTCTGAGTATGTGTTGTGCATCCCAGTTGGATAATTTAGGAGTGAGGCTCTGAACAAAATCTTTGTAATCTTTTTTGTCTTTGTAATCCTTTCTGTCTTTGTAATCCTTTCATTCACATTTCTTCACAGTTTTGCTACTTAAGAGAATTTTTTTTAGTGTTTGACAAAATACTAAATTATTCTAGTGAACTTTTGTCCATTGGATTACTTTGTCTGGTCTTTTCATGGGCTTTCTTATGATTATTTAGCTTGCTGTCCTTTCCAAGATAAAATAATCATTCCTACTACCACCTCACTATTTAATTCAAATTATACTTTTGTCTAGTTCTTTTAGAAATCAGAACAGGAAAATGAAGAATCACAATCCAGAAGTTGTCACAAATGTGTGACCAAATGTTCTTCCATGGAATTACTATATTTTTTTTTTTTTAGTGGAGTATCAGAAGATGAACTGAAACAGATGTGTACAGCATGATTTGTTCTCTAAATTTAGTTAAAGGAGGACTCACTTGAAAACAGACGGATTATTTCATGCTGCCCATCCCTTTTCTAGTGCTGTTCACTTTCTTCAGCTCTTAAAAAGACAGCACATTTCTAGAAAAGGAGAAGGGGAACCCAGCTTCTAAAGTAGTTTTTGTAAGCTTGCCTGACACACTTGCACTCCAAGGCCCAGGCTGTGCAGAGCCCAGCAGCAGCAGATGATGATGGTGGTGGTGGTGATGATGATGATGATGATGATTCCCCCTGGGTGGGCAGTGGGGTGGGCATTGGGTTCCACACCCCTCACCTGCTGTGGCACAGGACAGGGTGTGTAGGGTGACGCACAGGGACCGAGCTTCCTGTAACCCCCCTGAGCTTGTGGCGAGCTCGTGTGTCCCACTCCAAGCAGGCAAAGGACCTGCTGTGATCCAGTGTTTTGTGCTTCCAAAGAGCCCTTTCAACGCTGGTGAGTCACAGAGCCATGGGGACAATGCTTCCATGTCTGAACTTATGCCACCAGTGTTTTATGTACAGTTTTGTTTCTCGTGCATTGCTTAGCCACAAGCTGATGAACTTCAAATACTTTATCACTGCTTTTATATAAAAGCCAGCTTTTTTATGTATCTAGATTGCAGTGTCTGACTCAACAGAGCTGCAGTTTTGAAGTGAGCATGTATTTCTCAGAAAAGCAGCCTTATTTAGATTTCTTGGGTCTGTCACTGCTGTCCTCAGATTGCCATGCTCCCCTAGCCAAGGATAAGAGCTGCACGATTTTCTCCATTATGTTAGGAATGGTCCAGTGGAGTTTGATGAAGAAATATGACATACAGAATCACAGAATACCCTGAGCTGGAAGGGACCCAGAAAAATCAAAAATTCGAGGTCATGACTCCACACACGATTACCTAAAAAATAAACCATATTTCTGAGAGCGTTTTACAAACACTTTTTGATATCCCTGTCTCTGGGGACACTAAGTGCCTGTGGGACATGGGGACCCCTGGTGTCCCTCATGCCTCTGTCCCTGGGGACACTGGGATCCGACAGCCTCAAGACCTCAACCCCTGGGAAATGTGGGACCTCCACCTTCCCACCCTCTCATTTTTGGGCAGATATATTGTCTCCTGTATGGGGATCCATATTGTCCCCATCCCTGGGGGCCCCAGGGCCCCCAATGTCCCCGTCCCCAGATCCCTGCAGGATGGGGGACCCTGCTCACCCTGTTCCCTGGAGAACCAGGGACCCCGATTGCTCTGAGCCTTCCCCATCCCCAGTGTCCCCCCACAGTGCTGTCCTTTTCATAACCATGGTCAGATTATGCAGAAGCATTCAGGGACGTCAGAAACGATGAGCATATGATTAAAATCAGGGTAAGTACCCACTTAGGACACAACTGAACCAAACCCACCACTTCAGCCTGAAGAAAGCTTGAAAGGCTTCCCAAAATGATGCTGTAGTATAGATTCCATCATAATGCAACAAAAACCAGGATGTTTCTTTTTGCCCTTATTTCTACCAAGTGAGCCCAGCATAGCTCTGGAACAAATCCTTTCATTGGTATCTGCTAACTCTGGACATGGTCTCCAGGTTGTATTTCTGTTGTTCCTTTTACCTCAAGCAGCTGATGTATGGGTGGGGGGAAAGTGGGAGAGGAGAGGATTTAGTTTTGCTTTCCTTTCAGATTTTATTTTTTTTCTTACCCTTTAGGAGCAGGAATTTATCCTAGAGGCAATACTTTTGTTGTTGCAACCTTTTTTCTATTTAAAAAGTATGTTTAAAAAAATTCTTTGGACACGGGAAGAATTAAACAGCAGGGGACAGTGTCTTTGTTTTTAATGTAAAGCTAATTATGTGCCTGGCATGTTCCCCAGAAACTCGTCCATCCAGCTGCTTTTGTGGCTTGCTGCCTTTGCTGGCTGCGGCGTTCTCCCATGAGTTTACAGTTCCTCCAAACACAGCCCCTGCTTTTGCTTTGATCTCCAGTGAATTCTTTGCAGCTACATAGCTTGGTTCATGAATAAGCCCTGAATTTTGTTCGTCCTTTGGGAGTACATCCCTTCTCTGCTTTTGCTTTTCTTCTCGGAAGGGCTTAATTGCTTTTACACGTCTGACGGAGGGTGTCGGCTCTTCATGAGCCTAACGAGATTTCACACCGCCTGAGCTGTGAGAGGCAAGAAGTAGGAGTGCAGTGAATAATTTCTGGTGCAAATCGACTCATACAGGTTTAGTTTTTGCTCATTTTCACCTCCAGCACAGGCAGCTAGTTCTCGTCTGGAAGTACAGTCCTTATTAAAGGGAAGGGTGATCCTGGATATAAACTGAGTGCTGTTTGCTCTGGCCTGCTGGGGTGTGGAGGAGGGGAGATGCGTGGTCTTTAATGGAAGTGTCCCTGTCCTTTCTCCCCCAGCCATCTTCACCCTCTCCTTGTGCATTCTAATTTCTGTGCCCATGGCAAGGCCCTGTCCCCCTCGCTCCTGCATGGCCCCCTCTCCCTGCTGCTGGGGAGTGAGTGAAACCTGTGCCCTGTGTGTGCCTGCAGGTGATGTGCAACACGTTTTGTCTGGGGGGCAGCAAAGTCCAGGCGTGAATATAAAAGATAGAACCACTGAACATCCTAAGCTGGGAGAGACCCATAAGGATCACTGAGCCCAACTCCTGGCTCCACACAGGACCACCCAAAAATCAGACTATGTTTCTGAAAGCGTTGTCCAAATGTTTCTTGAACTCTGGCAGCTCGGTGCTGTGCCCACTGCCCTGGGGAGCCTGTCCCAGTGCCCGACCACCCTCTGGGTGCAGACCCTTTCCCTAACCCCCAGCCTGACCCTCCCCTGTCCCAGCTCCATGCCGTTCCCTCGGGTCCTGTCACTGTCCCCAGAGAGCAGAGCTCAGCACCTGCCCCTCCGCTCCCCTCGTGAGGGAGCTGCAGGCCGCCATGAGGCCTCCCCTCAGAGGTGCAATGAATTACATTCTAGGGCGCTTTTCTCAAAATAACGACTGCTTTACGGTCCCAGAGAGCTATTATCTTTTTGTTAAGAAAGGGTATTTCCGTAGGTGGTGAGACTATAATTTACAGGAAAGTCAGCTTCACCTGTCTCTTGTCTCAGCCCATTTTCCCAAGAAACCTCTGCCTGCATTCCCCCATCGCACAGAAAAGCTGCCCGTCCTTCCCTGGGCCATGCACCGACCGTCACAGCTGTGTTGATCCTGGCGCCTCACGGTGCACTACCTCACCCTCCCACACTGCATCCTGCCGCTACCCTCTGCCTGCGTGGCCACAGTTTGCCCCAGAATACCATCCCCAACCAGCAAGAGCTGGAAAATGCTTCCACTGCCTCTTTTCTGTGCATAATTTAAGCTCCCCTGTGAAGGTGTGCAGGCCGTGCTGGCCCCTCAGGGACAGGAGCGTGGCATGGGATGGGAGCAGCTGTGCTTGCCGTGGGCAGCCATGTTGTGCTGCCATGGCCCCAGGTAGGCTGCGGGTTGCCTCGGCTCTCGCTTGCCGACATTTTGCCCTCACCGCCGATGTTTGCTCTTGTGGTGATGGATTTCTTTGTCAGTGGCATGGCTGAGTGCAGCTCTTTGGGCAGAGACGCTCGTGGCATGAGGTACTTCTGCCTGCTCCAGCCCTTGCGGATGGGTCTCGGTTTCCTGCCTTTAAAGGAGTTTGTGCTGTGGCAGTGTTGGTTTATTTGCGGTGTTTCTATTTAAATTACTCCACGTGTTGCACATTGACAGAGTCTGATCTTTTTTCCTACAATGTCTACAGGCTAATTTTAAAGAGTGATTTCGAGTATTTTTCATGCTAATGTAATGAATCAATTTGCTTTCATGTACAGACATCTACCTACTCCAGTAGCAAGGGATTATTCTGTTTTCTCAAAAGAGTAATAGCCTAATTACAAACTCGTGTTCTGAAATGACATTAATTTATATAAATGCATAGAAAGAAAAAACTCTCTGACAGACAGAAATATTGCAACCTATGAGTACTGCTGTTTATAAAAGAAGACATCCAGCAAAAAGATGAGCAGAAGATCACCTTGAATTAGGAAACCAAAAATCCATACATCAGATCTTGAAGGAGTTAGACCAGCCCTCAATAAACCTGTGCTAACACCTGGCCTATTTGCAAGTGACTTTGCACAGCTGCATTTTAGGGTTGGGACTCGCTGCAGCAGCTGGTGCTGTCTCGCAGCGTGGCACAAAACCTCCTGAAGATTTTTCAGGGCAGGAAACGCCACAGGGGGCCCTGTGCATCACCAAATGTGCAGGAACAGCGGCCAGAGCCAGTGTTTTCCCCTGGGCTGAGGCCAGGAGGAGGAAGAGGAAGCAGGCAGGGAGGCAGGGGTGTGGGTCTGGCACAGGGAAGGAGGCAGCGGGCTCATGGCCAGCCCTGCCCGGCACCAGGCTGGGAACACGGCCCAGGTCACGACACTTGGCCCTGCGGCTTTCGCCTGCCTGGCTTTGTGGTTCTTTTTTTTTTTTTTGTCATTTTCTTGGAAGAGACCCTGCCTGGGGGAGGAGGTGGGGGACTCCCAGAGGTGACAAAGCCAGGCCAGGCGCTGCGGAGACGCCAAGGGAAAAGTGTGTCTGGCTCAGAGTGCACAATGGGATGTCCTGGGCTTTGTGGGTGAGGAGCAGGGAGAGGGACGGGGGCAGCCCCATCTCCTGAGTGGCCCCCAGAAGCTGATGGAGTTTGGGGGAGGTGGGGCAGAGCTTGGATGTCACAGGGCACCCTGTGGCTGCTTGGCCTTGCTGGAGGTCAAATCCGTCCTCCCCACTGCTGCTTCCCCATGGGGCAGCCTGGAGCCCCCCACAGGGATTTTGGGGCTCATGATCCAGGATAAACAGCAGCTGGAATACGTTTTGGAGCTTGTTACAGCACCCCCCGCCACCTCCCCAGGAAAGAAACAGCACCCTTGTCTCATCCAAAACCTGGTCCTGCGGTGGTAAAGGAGAGAAGATGCACGCACAGGGAGGGAGGTGGTCCCTGTGGCTCTGCTGTGATAAATTTCCTTAAAACGGGAAAGAGCTGCATCCGTTCAAGCAGGAAGAGTCTTGCTGTCCAAGTCTGGATCAGAACCAGTCACTGAGAGTTCTGTTTGTTCCCAAAGTGCTTGCGTGGGAATGCGTATGGGTAACAAACAGGGGTCAGCGGTAATTACGGTCCTGGATGCTGCAGTGCCGTGATTCAGGCCGGAGCAATGCATGAGAACAGCTTTCTATTAGCAACCCCTTGTGTTCGTCAGCACGCAGGGACAGGGAGGCAGGGCCTGTTGCGTGTGGACGGGCTTTGGCGTGGCCCCGGTGGAAGGGGACGAGTGCCAGAAGGCGCTGAGACACTGACCTGCCCTGCAGCACGTGGGCGCCGAGCCCGCCTGTGGGTCTGGGTTTAATGTCGGGTCTGGATTTGATTTCTGCTCCGTATCGTGATGGGACTGCACGACCAGGCTCAGCTCTTCTGCTGACAGCGGGAGAGGGAGGAGAAGAGCCAAGGGGTGTTGCTAAACCCTCAGAAAAGAATTACCCAAAGCCAAACAAACAAACAAAAAAAAGAAGGCACAAGTAAGGCGAGCTGTGGGTAGGGCTGGAGCAGCCGCATGCGATGTGCTGCTGCCGCCTCCCGGCGTGGCCGAATGCTCCCGTGGGTGCTGGGGCCAGGCAGAGCTGCTTGGCCCAAGGCTGAGAGCAGGAGTGTGGCCGGCTCTGCTCTTCGCTCCCTGCCTCCCCTTGGGCTCTGCCTGCTGCCTCCTTCCCCCTCTCCCTCCCTCCACGGCCGCAGCAGGGTGGATTTGGCTGGCGCTTGCTGTCCTCCTTCACGTGTAGCTTCTTGCGTTGCAGGAGAGGCAGAGCAGCATGGCCCTGCAGGGCTTTGGATGGATATTTCCTTCCAAGATGAGGAGGCGGGTGGGTGGATGGGGCTCCAGCTGCTGTGACGTGGCTGTGCACCCCCTTGCTCAGCCCTGCCAGGTTTACCAGCCCCACCAGTCCCTCCTGTCTGGCTGCAGGGTGTGGGGGTGTCAGGCTGAATGAAACCAGAGCCTCCCCGCCCAGGCCGGGCTTTTCCTTGTTTGCGCAGCATCGTGGTTTGCGGGGGCCTGAGGGAGATTTTTGGCTCTGCTTGTTGTTTCACGGTAACTGGAGACCAGCGGGGACGCAGGAATCCCAGGCTGTACCAGGAACAGCACAAACCCCGGGAAAATCAATGTGAGGTGCTCTTTCAGAGCGGTTCAGCTTCACTCTCCTTACCAGTGGTCAGAGGCGGCAATATGCCCAGCAGCCCTCTGACCACCCCACCACGAGGGGCACAGGGTGCCCAGCCTCGCCTGCGTCCCCAGGAACCTGGCAGCTTCTGGCGAGCCGATGTGTAAGCCACACAAGTATGTGCTTCCTGTGCAAAGCACAGCGTTCCCGTCATCCGCAGTCCCCGCTTCTCTCCTTTGTTTACTTGCACAGTTCCAGGAAGCCGCCGTGCTGTGCTCGGACAGCGAGGAGGCAGCAGCAAGGTGAAGCCGCTGACGCCTCTCGCACCGCTTCACCCTGCGGCGCACTGAAAGCTGGTGAAAACCCGAGGGGCTTTGTGTGAAACTGGAGAGTAAAACTGTGGAGCGAGCTAAGAGCTTGGTGTGCTGGCACTCGCTGGTGAAGGAGTCCAGCGTTAGTTCTGTGTGTGTTTTAACTGCAAAGTGGCACCTGGTGTGGCGGGCCCGGATTGCCCCCCTGTGGCAACAAAAGCAGTAATTTTTGCTGCCATAGGCTGCACACAATGCAGCCCCTGTATGTATGTCAGACTGACTCTGCCCTCGTTAAAGGGGGAGCTGTGCAGCCTATGGAACCAGCAGGTTTCCCTCCAGCAGGAAGGGGAAGCCAGGTTTTGTCAGGTGCAGCCCTGAGGCCTTGCTGAACAGTCTCTGAAGATCCCCCTGTGCTTTCTTCAGAACAGAGCTGTAGGCTCCCCAAAGGCCTCTGAGGATCCTCCACCCTTAAGAACCAACCTAAGCCAGGTGAGACCAAGGGCAATGCTGGAGGTAGTCACAACTTCTTTTCTGGAAACAAGTGTGTGCATGTAGTTGGCGTTAAACCCTGGTAAGGTTACTTGGAATGGGATTTTTTTCAGACACCTCTTCCCAGTTTCACTGTGGCTGCCTGGAGCACCACTAGCACATCTGCAGAGCGCAGGGCCACCGCCAGACACAGCCACCACTTCCAAGCAGCACGAGGCCCAGGAATGAAGAAAATTGGCAGTTTTGGGGATGGGGCTTGGTCCCTGGGACCTGCCCGGCCACTGCAGCCTCAGCTGGTCGCAACCACAAGAGAGATTAAAAGGGGAAGGTGAGCCATTGCTCATCTGCCCCGTGAAATCCCCGGAGTACCCGGGCAGGTACACCAGTCACCTCTCTGGGAATTTCTCTGTTCCTGGCCTGTGAGGTAGTGCCCCAGCTGTGTGGTCACTGGAGTTACCTTAACAAAAATATCCACTCTGACACACAAAGTAAGTATGGAATACTTTCTTCTCTTTTTTGTATATTGTGTAGTAGACAAATGCAACATTCAGGCTCAGCTGGGTAACAAAGAGGAAGACATTCAAAACTTACAGTAAAAAGTAAACTGTAGAAAGCAGAGTTTATATGACAATAAACATGCAGCTTGCAAAAGAATGAAGATCATGTACTGGTATTAAAACACATTTCCATATAGAGACAGCTTATGCAGCAATTTGCAGATTTAACTTCTGGCTGAAGTATGCAAGCCCTTCAAAGCAGGCATACAAACCACCAGTAGCTTAGTCAGCCATAGTTACTTTAAGTACATAATAAAACTTGATTTTAAGTTTACATTCACTAGGCATTCAATTCAGCATCAAGGCACTTTCCTTGTTATATGTCCCCGTGTCCCACGACTACACTTACCTAGGTGCATATATTGGCACAGTAGCGCTTGCTGACGAGTAGCCCTGATGGCGAGCTCCGTTGCCCCTCTCCCCAAATAAAAAGCAGTTGGCTCCCAGACAACCCATGGCTGCATCACAACGCCAGGCTGCACGTGATGCCGTGAGCAGCTCTGCTTTATGAAAAAGCCACGCGCAGCAAGGTGAGCGGATCCGTCAGCGCGTGTGCTTTGCTACGAGGAGCAGTTTTGGGTGTTACACCCACAGCAGACCACCACACGGGAGCAAGGTGCGCTTCCCAGCAGCCGGCGTGCCACACGCTTGTGTTTCATCTGTTGTTTACAAGAGTGTGCTTTTGTGGGAGTAGCAGTGATTTTATTGCCCGTCTCCACTGCTAAGGTTGTCTTTGCAAATAAACGCAATGCTTGACCATGGTCTGCGTGCTGTGAGGTATTTATTGCCTATTCTTGCTCTGCACTAAAAGCAAGGCGCGGGGAGAGGATGACCATTGAGATCTGCCCCTTAGTCATTAATCTGTAACAAATCCTGTGGCCTTAAAATGCATCCTTGTGCATTTGAGTCAGCGCTGCTTTCATTTTTAGGAATGGCTCAGATTGCACAACTAGTATGAAGGGAACAACAGAGAAAGCAAACACACGCACCCTAGTTACATCTTTTCCTAACCGTTACTTTCATTTTTAACAAAGACAGAGAGGAAGGGGAATTGGTGAATCAGCTGCAGGATATCTAATCCTACACTTCTCCAGACTTCTGAATTCCCCACATTACTGCCGTCTTCTGGACCACGAGCTGAAGCTGTCTGCAGTTACAGACTGGCTATTTCATAACAACAGGCTCAACGTTCTTGTTGTTAAACTGCTTCTGAGTAACATTAAAAACAACTATTGGAATTTAAAATGGCTATATGTATCCATCCTAGCAAAGAGATGGGCATTTATTAGAGGAGCAATGATGTTTTGTGATCCAGCCATCCAGTGAACTTGTTAAGGTACTTAAAAGATTGCATCAAAACGGCAGAAAGCAAACTGTTATATTTAGTCCAATTTAATGCATATAAATTACAACCTAAAGCATGTGTGTCCTGGAGCAAGGCTGACTGTAAGAGTTCCGAGTGTCTCTCGAGTTTCAGATCCTACTGTGAAGTCGATACTATAGCAGCATATATTGATACGTGTCCTAGCTATTCAAGACCCGGCATTAATTAAATAAGTTGAATTACTGAAGTTAAATCAGAACAATGACTCCTACATCCTTGGCATGCTAGTATAAGTTTTAACCATCTGGTGGTGCTCACATTTGCACTCAAAGCTGAAACTGCAAAAAGCAGGCAATGGTACTTTTCCAGCCACCAAGAAGTGACACAAGCCCTTGTGTGCAAACTCCTCTCTTCCTGGGGAGGCAAGAGGGGAACCAAGGGAGCACCTGGCTCCACCCACCCCCAGAACCAATCCCCTCTTCCTACAGCACTACAAAAATAAATATATATGCTTTTCTTGTGAATGTTAGTTAGCCTTGCACTTAAAAGCATCTTCAAGAGTGAAGAAATACTTTACTTTTACTAGCCACCCTTCTCTGCTAGAGAGCCAACAACCTTTTCACAACTAGCCTCCCACACACCCTGCTGTAAAATTCCAGTCCAGGTAATCAAAATGGGCATGAAAGCATCAATAGCAGAGTGTAATTTTATTTTGCTAATGCCTTTATTTTGTAAAGTGCACCATAGTTACTGGGGTGAGGGTAATTATGATGCTAGGGCCAAGTTCAGAAAATTTCAGTGGATTGTTAAAACACATTACATATGCTCTAAAACCTGTGTGCAACTCTTTGATGCAACTAGATTGTTGTGATGCAAAGTACAAAATCAAGTTAAATGCTGAACGCTGTACAACATTGCATTTTGGCACAGCGGTTTATGAACAAGTTGTAAGCCTGTTACTTAGATTTACTGTGGCTTCCATAAGCTGCTCACCCACAGGCATACCATTTAGTCTTTACTATTTTAGCCCTAGCCACAAGCACAAGATGGAAAGTCAGAACAAATATATATGCTAGATAGAAGCCTTCCCAGTATATATCCCTCCTGCACAACTCTGTGACTTTATTACCACTGATCCATAAACAATGATGAAAGTAAGAGTCCAGAAGTGACAGGACAAAGCTCTTGTTAGCACAGATCCCCTAAAAACGTGAAATCTTTTCAAAGTTGAACTTTGGAAATGGTTCATGATTAACAGCAACTGAGAACAAAATGCCTTCCCTTTACACAACAGAAAGGAGAATAGTAACTTTAACTGAAGTTGTCCCTCAAACATGACATATGCTACCAAAACTTAGTATTACTGGATCAGAAATAAAATATTATCAGCTTTTTTTTTTTTTTTTTTTTTTTTTTTAATATCCAGGACTTTTAGGACTTTGAAGCAATGTTCAACCTCAGCAGCCAGATTGTGGCCAGAAACTTGTGACTAATACCATTTCATCAATTACCAGAGGGTGGATTAGATAGCATGTGGCTTGCAGGACAGTTGTAATAAACATGCACACTGCTCACCAGAAACTTTCCCTTTTACTTGTGGTTTCTACAGTCACTATGAAGTTTGCATAGAGAAGACATACCCATCCCCCAGTAAACTCACTGCTGTTATTTTCTAAGAGGTATGTATTCTGACAACAGAAAGCTCCTTTGACCTCTGAAAAAAACAGACATGTCCTCTATTGTCTTGTGAGAGTGTAGTTTTCATGATGTCCTTGCTCTCTGGGGAAGAGGTTGAAGGTGCTGAGGGAAGATAGGAGGAAGTCTGGTTTGAAAAAAGGTATAGTTACAGTAACCTGCAACACAGCATTTGTTTTAAAAAGCGTCCGGATATGAAAAATACTGTTAGGAGAAAGGAACTGCAGAACACTGAATAAGACAGTAAAGATTCAGCATTTTTCTTGTTTTGTTTTTGAACAGTCCAGACTCCAACTGGTAATCTTTTGAGTTACTCTAGCACTGAGTTCCTTCATATCAGAAGCAAAAGACACATGAACAATATACCTGTCCTTCAAGGGCCATTACCAAGTGCTTTGCACAACAGCAGCACCACACATCACAAAAAGTTTCAGGAGGTCTCAGTTCTTTTGCTGAAGGAGAAATAAAACCCTTGTTTTATTCTCACAACACAGCATGTAGTGTTTTGAATCAAGGTTTTATTAGTGTCAGATTAGAAAAGCTGACTAGGCTGAGTCAAGGTAAAAAAAATAAATCTGCAAGTGTCATAAGATTTCATCACTTGGGAAGAGGTTAATTTTAATGCAGTTATATGTACCTTCTAAATAAAATACACAATAGAAGTGAGACATAAGAAAAAAGAATTTTAGCCACCACAAACATTGTGGCTCATGCTAGATAATAGATACATATAGTCATGAACTTGAAAGTTCAGGGTATAGTTTTTTCTTTTTTTTTTCCCTGAGCACTTCAATGACTTCAATGCTTCTTTTTACTACGTTCAGTTTCAAGGAGGTCCTGTGGTGTTAGCAGTAAAGTTATAGCACACTAGTCATTGTAGTCATTCAGGAAGATCCCCTGACATCCCCTTTCTCCTAAGTAGTTATAAAAACTTTGAAAAGTTTTAGCTCATTACTCGCCTCTCAAGCTAGGCACTGCAAAGGTGCACTTATTATATACAAAGGCTATTAATATGACCAAAGTGGTGTGGTATAATCAGACAGTGTTTTGGGTACAAAAGCTTTAAATAAGTAATTATCTGTGTTTTCATCCAGATTTTTAACTTTTAAACATGAAAACTGAATTGCTGTGCATCAAGTTGCAAGGCACATTCTTAGGCCAAATTATTGTATAGTTCATGTGCACACATCTAAATATATGCATAATATCAATTATTACAGTAACACTCAGTCAAGCAATAAGGGCATTTTGTTACTTGCAAACCATCAAAAGTTCTATGCAATTACTAAATGTGGATGCATGATTTGCACACCGAGTCTGACAAGCTGGAAACTGTGACACTGGGCCACATCAAAAGTCAGAGTCAATCAAGCTACTGAAAAGTGCATGACATAGTATTTTTCCCCACATTGGAATACTAAACTTCGGTCTCATTTAAGTACAAATATGCTCCAAACAACCAAAGCTGGCTTCTTAGGCTTGTATACTGTTGCAAATCAACTATTTCTTCTAGGTCTGTTGGCCGATGTGATTAACTGAAACTTGCTGTTTTCAATCATGTGTAAATTTGATGTGACAAGACACAAAAAGCACTGTAGCACAAAGGCTTGTTCAGCTATTCAGACAAATATGATTTCATGTAGTGCATAAAAGTAAGTCTCCAGAAGGTCTGGAATGCAAATTTTCCACAGAAACACAGTCCTTACTGTATTTTGTCAAATTATTCTTCACCTAATTTTAATATTTCTATCTGCATTCAGATAAAAATACCTAGCTTAATTCATCAGAAACACAGGAAGAAGTGTGAACAGGCACTAATGAAGGCCTAATGCAGCCAGTCTCTTCTCTCACTGAGGCATATAACCCCCTTGTCTCACAGTCTGTGGGAGATAACTTTTTGGCATTTCATCAACTGATGGTGGGTTTCCTTCTACTGTTTCATATCTCACAGTTTGTCCTTCAGTACTTGTCTGTAAAACATCTGACAGAGCAGCTTCCTGGGTACTTTTCTCTAGACCAAGACCCAGAGGCTCTGAACTCTGCCCTGAGATCTGCAATTGTGCAAATCCAGCGAGATCCTCCTCATTAGCAGGAATAATCTGCTTTGCTATTTCAAAGCAAGGCCTGTCAGTGTTGTTTTCATCCTGACCACAATTTTGTTTAAAATACTGCTGCCTCTGTGTTGTACTGTCACTCCCTCCACCATGATCATCTGATCTCTCTTCTGAATCTAGCAGTGGCTGAGTAGATTCAGACCTTGAGAAGACTTGCACAGGCGTTTGGTCTCTGTAGCCATTGAGCACTACTGTCGAATACTGTACAGTGCTTGAAGTGTTTTGTGTAGTTTCACCTTCATCGCTGTCAGAGACGCTTTGCCTAGGAGAAGACATACAGGAGGATCCTCCAATACCACTGCTGTGCCCTTCTGAAGTACTTTTTTCCTTTTTAAGCAAATCAAAAGGCTTTAGATCTTGTTCTGAGAAAGACTTCTTGTCATCAGCTTCTATTTCTACGACGCTTACATCTGTAAAGCTGCCTTCTGGGTACATCTGATCTTTAGAATTAAAGTTGTGCTGAAAAAAAAGAGAGGGATGTTGCCTAAGAGGAAGGTTAAGTTAAAACAAAACATTAAGTATCTGAATATTTGTGCTGTTAATTTCATCAAGATTCTCCACACAGTTTGCCTTCTCATTAAGTGTGGCAGTATCTCCCAAGTATGTTACAAAGTAAAAGCTATAGCTTTGTTTCACTACAAAATGTGCTCTAATTTTATTTACTCTAAGAAACTGTAAACAGAGTGCCATTCACTGTGCAGCACAGAACATTTTGTACTGAGGCCATACATACTACTCCCAACAGCATATTCAGAGCCAAACAAGAAGTTAGCCACTATTTATTGAACATAATTTATCCACCTCACATGGGGCATAAATTCTGCTGCCACTCACCTCATCCATCTTCAGATCTTTCTCTCACGCACCACTTAACTGTACAAACAAGTCACTTAAAGGTTTTACAAATCACAAACGCTGTTTACTTAATATTGATTTCCTGTGAATGAGTCAAACAATCAGGCCTTGACACTTCAAACTAGTAAACTGAATGTAATTTGTACTGCTAAAGCCATCTCTGTACTGTGAGTTTATGCCCAAAAACCACGTATTTCTAACTCAGTAATTGATACAACAAAGTCTTCTAGCCATATCATACTGTTATGAAACTTAATATCCAGTTTTCCCCTTTCCCCAGAAATCTGTGTGTTTGAGAAGGGAGAAGACTCCCTCTGTTAGTTCATTAGAGACTTTATGGATTAGGAAAATAAAGATGCTGAGAGGAGTATTACCTTAGCTGGAACTTGAGGTGACCACTGAGCAATGTTGCTCTTGGATGGATCAGGGACATTAGGCCAAATATGCTTTTTAATTCTGCAGAGGATTAAAAACAAGATTACAAGATGCACTTCCTGAATTCCTATACTGGTAAATTTTGTGTAATCCAGGACACTGGGCCCTGGCACAGAATCTTTGCAAGACTATATTTTCCAACAGAAGTACTTCCTGCCCTTCCTTGTGTCTTTGCAAGAAGCTGTATTACTGAGAAAAACAAGGCGCTGCACTTGCAGCTCTCCCACACAATGTAGCCATAAAACACGGCAAACAAATGGTAAGAGGTAGTAAGGGATGTTGCAAGATGGACTTCAACAGAAGAGCATTAAAATCTTATCTTAGAAGCAGTGGGGAGATCAGAAGGACAGGGCAAAAAGTGATCTCTAAGCAGAAAGAAAAGACAGTTGACTGGGGACATGTAAAAGGCACTGCTCTTTGCCAGGGTAAACACTTCAGCAATAAGCTCTCAGCTAAAGACACAGACAAGAGCCTTGGGATGGAAGGAGCAGGAGAAAGACAGGATGTTTTCCTGCAGGTAATAAATACGAACCAAGTATAACTGAGGTTATACAAGGCAGAAAAATACGATACCTACCAATTATTTATTTGCTGCAGTGCTTAAAGTTTTCAAATACCATAACTGAATAACTCAAATACAAAACATTCTTCTGTCATCTTCAAAGGATGACAACCATCATTCTCCTCTTATAAGATTACTCAGAAAACAGACAGTATACTCCCATCAAAACCTAACAAACTTAATCCTAACCAAGGCCAGCAAGAAATTTCCTTGCAAGATCAATCTATAGGACATTAAATCTCAGTGCTAATCATTAACAGTAAGAAATGTAATTAGTATCAAAAAAGCCCCTACTTTTTTTTTTCTTAAGAAAACAAGCATGTTTATCATCAATGCATGTGTTTTACCTTCTTTTCCAGTCTAACTGCAGAACATTTACTTAATGATTATTGCCAAGTCTCATGCCAAAAAAAAATATTACAAGCAGAAGAGAGAAGCAATACTATGAGCAAAAGAGAGAAGCTTCATTTATACTTACAAGTCACGTTTGTTGAAGCAAAACAGTACTCCAAGGAGTACAATCAACAGGAATGCTAGGCACACAGGTACAACTATAGCTTCAATTTCTCCTCTCCCTAGAAAAATAAACAAAGAAGTTATAACCCTCTGGTATTTGTATGTCAGTATTTCAATACCTCTCAGCAGCAGCATATGTTCCCATAGATACAGGGAGAATCTGAAACTGGACACATGCAGCTCAAGACCCACCTTCAAAAGAACTTTTTCACTGTATGAAAATAGTCTGTTGGTAAACACAAAAAACTCTGTTCAACCAATCTAATGCCTTGTATCAGTAAGAATTCTAGATTGCTTTGGAAGCTGTATATTTGTATATTTGGAAGCTCTTAACGACAGCCGTTAGCCAGGTGATAATGGTCTCCACCAGGCACGGAGCGCTCTGCAGGAGGTCGGTATACACCCAGACCGACTGCCCGTTAAAGAATGCAGCGGTTCAGGTCACCGGATGCAGGGAGTGTCAGAGCCTGCTGCTGCCATCGGCAGGAGGCAGAGACGCTGCGTGCGTGAGGTGCGAGCAGGTGGATGACCTGATCCGCATGGTGGCGGAGCTCAAGGAGGAGGTGGAGAGGTTGAGGGCCATCAGGGAGTGTGAGCGGGAGATAGACTTGTGGAGTAACTCCCTGCAGGGCCTCAAGGAGAGGTATTGACGTGAGACACCCCAAATGGGGGTGGACCCCCTGCCCTGTCGCCGTCGGGCAGAGGGAGGGGATCTGGGAGTTGAGGAGGAATGGAGACAGGTCCCTGCTCGACATCGCAGGCGATGCCCTCCCCTTCCGGCCCCACCTTCCCAGGTGCCCTTACGAAACAGGTTTGAGGCCCTGGAAATTGAGAGACCAGCAACTGAGGAAGAGGTAGAAAGTGTTCCCAGGAGGATGCCTAGGGCGAGGAGGTCAACTCCACGCATCGGGACTGCCTCCACCAAGAAAGACAGGAGGGTGATTGTCGTGGGAGACTCTGTCCTTAGGGGAACAGAGGGCCCTATTTGTCGGCCTGACCCTACCCGTAGGGAAGTCTGCTGCCTCCGTGGGGCCAGGGTCAGGGACGTTGCCAAGAAAGTCAAGCGCCTGGTACGGCCCACTGACTACTACCCGCTACTGGTCTTTCAGGCTGGTAGCGATGAAGTAGCAAAGAGAAGTCCGAAGGCGATCAAAAGAGACTTTAGGGATTTGGGGCGACTACTTAGAGGATCAGGCGCGCAGGTTGTGTTTGCCTCTGTCCTTCCCATAGGGGGGATCGAAGCTGAAAGGCGTGCTGTTCACATAAACTCGTGGCTTCGAGACTGGTGTGATCGGCAGAACTTTGGGTTCTTTGATCACGGGAAGGTCTATGCTACACCGGGCCTGATGGCACCAGATGGGAAGGGCCTCTCTCGGAGAGGGGTAAGGATCTTTGGTCAGGAGTTGGCAGGGCTGATAGATAGGGCTTTAAACTAGAGTCGAAGGGGGAAGGGGCTAAAACCAGGCACGCCGGTGAAGACCTAAGGGATGGTACGCTAGAATCAGAGGGGCTGTGTGCCAGTGAGGTCCTTCGGTTAGATCCACAAGGTGCTGAGTGTAAGGAGACGCACCTGAAATGCTTCTACACGAACGCACGCAGTATGAGGAATAAAATGGATGAGCTAGAAGTCCTGGCCCAGTCCCGCAACTACGACATCATCGGCATAAGCGAAACCTGGTGGGATGAGTCCTGTGACTGGGGTGTTGCGATAGATGGTTACAGGCTCTTCAGGAGGGACAGGCAGGGTAGGCGAGGTGGTGGGGTGGCGATATATGTGAAGCAGGGGCTGGACTGTGTGGAACTTCAGGTCGGCGATGGCAAAGTTGAGAGCCTCTGGGTAAGGATCAAGGGATGAACGAATAAAGGGGATGCCGTTGTGGGAGTCTATTACAGACCTCCTGGCCAGGACGATAGCGCCGATAACTTATTCTTTACAGAACTAAGAGAGGCCTCGAGATTAACTCCCCTTGTCCTTATGGGGGACTTCAACTTGCCAGACGTTAACTGGGAGTGCCACACGGCTGACACGAGCAAGTCCAGGAGGTTCATGAAGCACCTAGATGATAACTTCTTGGTGCAGGTGCTGACGGAGCCAACTAGGAAAGGTGCCCTCCTAGACCTGTTGCTAGAAAACAGAGAGGGTCTGGTGGGAGATGTGGTGATTGGTGGCCGCCTCGGTCATAGCGACCATGAAGTGGTTGAGTTCAAAAATTACGGTGACAGAAGGAAAAGTGCCACCAAAACCTCATCCCTAGGTATGGGGAAGGCGGACTTCAGGCTGCTCGGGGAACTAGTCAGCAAGGTCCCCTGGGAAGCTGCTCTTGAAGGCCTTGATGTCCACCAGTGCTGGTCATTCTTTAAGCGATGCCTCCTAGAAGCACAGGAACAGGCAATTCCTAAATATCGCAAGTCAGGCAGGCGGGGCAGGAGGCCGGCGTGAATGACCAGGAACATTCTTACAGAGATTAGGCGGAAACAGAGAGTGTTTCGCTACTGGAAGGAGGGCCAGGTGACATGGAAAGAATACAGGGATGCTGTTCGTGTTTGTAGGAAGAAAATTCGTGTGGCTAAAGCACACCTAGAGTTGAAGCTGGCTGTGTCTGTGAGAGAAAATAAAAAGGGTTTTTTTAGATATGTGAATGGAAAAAGGAGAACTAAAGAATACATAGGGCCACTCCTTGATAGGGAAGGTCTCCTCACAGACAATGACATAGGCAAAGCAGAGACGCTTAACGCCTTCTTTGCCTCTGTCTTCAATGCCGATGATGGGCTTCGGGACCCAGGGTGCCCTGAGCTGGAGGACCGGGACGGTGGGGATGACAAACTCCCAACCGACCCTGAACGTGTGCGGGATTTGCTACTCCACCTGGATCCCTACAAGTCCATGGGTCCGGATGGGATTCATCCCCGGGTGCTGAAAGAGCTGGCGGATGTCATCGCGGAACCTCTCTCAATTATTTTTCAACGATCCTGGGAATCTGGAGAGGTCCTGGTAGACTAGAAGCTGGCAAATGTTGTGCCGATTTTCAAGAAGGGTCAGAAAGAAGACCCTAGCAATTACAGGCCTGTCAGTCTCACGTCAGTGCCTGGTAAAATCATGGAGAAGATGGTTCTCGAACTTATTGAGGCGCACCTGGGGGACAAAGCAGTCATTGGTCCCAGCCAGCATGGGTTTGTGAAGGGTAGGTCCTGCCTAACTAACCTGATTTCCTTTTATGATAAGACCACCCGTATGGTGGACCAAGGGAAACCAGCTGATGTGATTTTTTTGGACTTCAGCAAGGCTTTTGACATGGTTTCCCATATGATCCTACTGGACAAAATGTCCAGCATACAGCTAAACAAAAACATCATACGATGGGTGAGCAATTGGCTAACGGGCAGGGCCCAAAGGGTTATGGTAAATGGGGCTGCGTCAGGCTGGCGGGCGGTCACCAGTGGGGTCCCTCAAGGCTCCATTTTAGGGCTGGTACTTTTCAATATTTTTATAAACGATCTGGATGTAGGAATAGAAGGTATTTTGAGCAAGTTTGCTGATGACACCAAACTTGGAGGAGGTGTGGACTCGAATGAGGGTGGAAAGGCCTTGCAGAGGGATCTGGATAGGTTGGAGAGCTGGGCGATCGCCAACCGCATGAAGTTCAATAAGAGCAAGTGCCGGGTCCTGCACCTGGGACGGGGAAACCCTGGCTGCACGTACAGACTGGGCGATGAGACGCTGGAGAGCAGCCTAGAAGAGAGGGATCTGGGGGTCGTGGTAGACAGCAAGTTCAATATGAGCCAGCAGTGTGCCCTGGCAGCCAGGAGGGCCAACCGTGTCCTGGGGTGCATCAAGCACGGCATCGCTAGTAGGTCAAGGGAGGTGATTGTCCCGCTCTACTCTGCGCTGGTGCGGCCTCACCTCGAGTACTGTGTGCAGTTCTGGGCACCACAGTATAAAAAGGACATGAAACTGTTGGAGAGTGTCCAGAGGAGGGCTACGAAGATGGTGAAAGGCCTGGAGGGGAAGACGTACGAGGAACGGCTGAGGGCACTGGGCCTGTTCAGCCTGGAGAAGAGGAGGCTGAGGGGAGACCTCATCGCAGTCTACAACTTCCTCGTAAGGGGGTGTCGAGAGGCAGGAGACCTTTTCTCCATTAACACCAGCGACAGGACCCGCGGGAACGGAGTTAAGCTGAGGCAGGGGAAGTTTAGGCTGGACATCAGGAAGGGGTTCTTCACAGAGAGAGTGGTTGCACACTGGAACAGGCTCCCCAGGGAAGTGGTCACTGCACCGAGCCTGTCTGAATTTAAGAAGAGATTGGACTGTGCACTTAGTCACATGGTCTGAACTTTTGGGTAGACCTGTGCGGTGTCAAGAGTTGGACTTGATGATCCTTAAGGGTCCCTTCCAACTCAGGATATTCTATGATTCTATGATTCTATGATTTTTACCCAGGCAGATATGACACCAAAATGAATGCATCTGTGGTCCAGGTGTTTCAGTGGCCTACCAGATGCCATATCAACATCACAGCCAGATGACTAATGCAAGCAAAGTCGCTAGTTGTCTGCCTGTTTATTCTGTAGATGAAAATATCCTCTCCCCACAAACACTTAAAGACTGCAGTATCGGTATGCATTCCTTCTTAAATGATATGAACATTTAAAGTAAACCTTACAGAATGCTTAGGGAATACAGAGGAAAAAAATACATAAAAGAAGTGCTTTCCACAGCAAAATTCAGTTGATGTTGCTACTCCTACCATTATAAACAGGAAGCTTTCTGAAGCTGTACACTCAAATTTAATGCTTTGCAGATCTTCATTGCACAGGAAACACATCCCAAGCCAGTGTGTTTGCCAACATGAAAACAATTCAGGAAATGTGCAGAGGACAGTTAGTATCCCTTGTCCTGACTGAACATCCTGGACAAATACCTCTTGGTGCTTGAGACAGACTACCTGAATACCGTGTCTTGCTGCATGTGAATACAGGAATGTAATAGATACGTTTTCTTTTAAAATAATGTCACCGCCTTCTGATATCAGATCCTAAATGGAGCCTTGCTACACTGTTGCAACATTACTTCCTACTTCTATTAGTTTTGCCACTCTTCCTTACCAAATTTCTGTGTAGTAAATGTAAAATCAGGACCACTCCTGCCTCCTTCATCTGTGTATGCCATCATCCGCACAGTGTACAGCGTATCACTGGTTAGAGAAGAGAGGGTATACTCTGTCTTGGAAGGATCCACTGACACAGCTGAAGGAAGGAAAGAGACGGTTTTCTGTAGTAGCTTATTAGTTCTCCACAAACACAGTAGCATTAAGACATCACATTTTAAGAAATACAAGATGGTTTGAGAAGTATGAGTGTCTGCATGGAAAATACAGACATAGAAAGGCTACAAACTTGTATAAGGAATGCCGAGATTCACTTGTTTCAGTTCAAGTGCTTGAATTAATTTAGTCTTTCTTGATGATAGTTCATGCGTGTATTTACTGTTTTTAAGAAAGTTGCTACAAACTAAACTGATAGTAAAGGAGGCTAAAAGGTCTCTAATAGACAGGATACATGGCTATCTAGAAAACACTAGTTAATAACTCGAAGTGTCATGGTTAACTATAAATGAGAAGTAGGATAAACATAAGTAACTTGCCCTGCTAGCTTAAGCAGATCTCAAAAATAAACTTTTGATTGCATCAACTACCACTTTATGCCTGGAGGTCATAAAAAGAACTAGAGAGCACTTCAAAATACGTTTTACACATCAGCAATATCTTAACCTAAAACTCCAAAAACATTAAAGAGCTAATTTTATTTTAAAAGGCTCTATCTTACTTAAATGCAGGCAACTCCTTCACAGCTTGAACAATATTGCTTCATCTTCACAGAATCCCAGGCTGGCAGGGACCTCTGGGCCCATCTGGCCCAACCCCTGCCCAAGCAGGGACATCCAGAGCAGGCTGCCCAGGGCCATGTCCAGATGGCTTTTGGAGATCTCCAAGGAGGAAACCCCACAGCCTGTCTGGGCAGCATGTGCCAGGGCTCCCTCACCCGCACAGCACAGAAGTGCTGTCTGAAGTTTAGACAACCTCCTGTGTTCCAGTTTGTGCCCATCTTGCTATGCATCCACCTTGTCCTGTATTTAGACTGACAGACGGGATCAGAATAATTCCCAATCAGCTCTTAGAAACCAGACTCAGTACCCTGTAACACAGACTGAACGCTAAACATTCTTAATTCTTTATTTGGGAATTTCCTATTCACAATGTAGGAGAAGCATGTATAAGGTATCAGCTTTAGATCAAAGACTGTCAAACACACTTGTGTCTGTATCTTGTTTTTCTGGAGTATGTATTATAAAGAAAAAAGATAAGTACTTCAATGCCACAAAGCATATCTCTGCTTTCTGTTACCTGTTTCATTTCCATCGATAGTTTTGTAAAATATTGTGTAACTTCTGATAAATCCATTTTGCTCATCCACTGTGAGATGGTTCCATGTCAGAACAGCTTCAGCTTTTCCTACTTTTTTTGTCTGAACAGTTGGTCCTTTTGAAGGACCTGTAGTGGGAGATGAAGATTAGTTTGTTTCTCTCACACAGAAGCAGTGTATTGATGAGCACTGAACTGTCATTTCATAAAAACTTCAGTGAAACAGCTGGACTAACTCATTTAAAAAATATTTTCAGGCAGTACAGCAACTTAAAAGATACTTTAGAAGAGAAACTGCTAGAAAAATATATGAAAACTGGTAATCAGCAGATCACATCACATGAAATCTTCAACTGAAGCTAATTAGTCTCAACTTCATACTTAAAATCTAAAATAAATCAGCATAGAAATATTACCATACCAATAATGTAACAAAATCCCATGCAAAATTATCCAACAAAAGTTGGAAAAGGGAAAAATTCCTCTACAGACATGTTTAACTACTTTCAATATTGTATACTAGCAGAGCAGTTGTTAATGGAAGGAACAAAACCAGCTATGTTAAATGACCTTTATGTGTAGGACCACTTTTTATTATGCAGTCCACTTGTACACAAAGCCCTCATTATTTTAGCCAAGACAGCTGCTTAATGTGCTCCAAGGTGACAGTTTTGTACTTACGATCCTGCTGAAGATAAGCCTTCACAGACTGTCCACTTCCCTGACCATCAGCATATAGAGGGTACACAGTTATCAAGTAGCACTTGAATGGCTTTATATCACCTAATAAAAGGAATTACAAAATATGTTGTTTCAAAGAATCAAGTTCCTCACCATCCATCTCATTTACTTCAGATGCTGGATGCTGGCTGTTTTGTTAGATGCATTTACACCTAATGCTGTTGACTTCACCCCCCTCCAAGAGCTCATTGATGTGCTACTCCAAAAAAGTAACAAAAGGAACAAAGTGGTTCAATAAAGTAATAATCAGACTTCAAAGAAGTCTTTGGCTTTTTTCCTTATTTATTTAAAATAAGAAATCTTTATCTGTCTGCAACAATGAACCTCAAAAGTTATAGATTTGAGCTACTGATTATAATCCAAAAAGAATCCAAGCTGATCAAGTTTCATTGTTTGAACTGAAATATGGATGAGAAAATCTGATTTTGAAGGAACTCAGCCTCTTCACTATTTTAATAATTCCCAAGAATGACAACAAAACTCAGATAAAAACCTTGCTGTTAAATAACAGGAATTTCAAAATGCAAGATTAGTTTTATGTTTGGCAAAAACACAGACTTTTCTATGCACTCATAATAAAATAAGAGTAAGTCTCAGCATTATGTCCGATTCCTATCCTATAAAAAAAAATCTAGTTAGCATAAAGATATTCTTCCTTTTGAGAATATTCATTAGATTCTTAGTGTTTTACATATTTGCAAGCTTGTGAGTTAAGTACCTTTTAAGTATGTTCCTTGAATATTTCCTGGTTCATTCTGCCATTCCATGATGCAGTCTGAGCTGTTGGACAGCAGACACCATTCAATCACGTATTTAAGAACATTACTGTTAGGAGCAGTCCACCCTACCCATAGTTTGCCATCTTTAGGTAGTGTTCTAATATTCTTCACAGGAGCTGGGATGAAAGAAAATAGAAGTGTTAAAATGTTGGCACTTCTTCCACTAGGTATTCATAATAGCAGCTTATTTTGTCTGATGTGCATAATTTTGATTATTGCGATGGCAACAATTTGACAGAAACTAAGAAAATGTGAAAGCCATTTTCTTAAATTTGGAAGCTTACATATGAGTTTGTATCAGAGATCCAAATTACCAAATGCTAGGCTATTCAAAGACCATAAGTGATACTACATTTAACAGAGAAGCTGCATAAGTTGTCTGTTTCAGTGTGAAATCAAACTTTTAGACATTCATTCTAATCCTGAACACGTTCATGTAGCTTATCAAGTTGTTCTGGATACAATGTTGTTCTTTTTAAAACATACCCTTAGCTCATCTAATAGCTTTAGAATTTGTGACTCTCACTTAGCATTTATACTAAATGTATCACACCTCTCAGTATTTTTATTTTTGCTACTTGTCCTGATAATGTTTGGATTGTATAAGAGGCTAAATTCATCAGATGTTGCAAATAAGGAGAAATCAGTATGTAGTTACTACTACTGCACAATAAAAGGAACATGATGAAAGAACACTATGGTTAACAGTGTAAGCAGAGGACAGAGCACCCAAGTAAGATATTGGAATTGTTGGAGGGTAATACTGGGACAAGAGAAGAAAGCAGGAGAGAAAAAAAAATGTCAGAAGGCAGAAGGAAGAAGAACAACGACCAACTTCCCCCACCCTTTTATTTTTAAAAAAGGACATAAAAATATCTGCTACGCTAAGAAAAATATAATAAGGAATACAGTGCTCTAGGAATTTAAAAGAACAGCGAAATAGCACACAAAGCTTCAAATAAATCCATAAATACAGAGGTCTGCATGCTCCTCAACATACAAGTGGTGGCATAATTAAAAGGAATAAGAGTGGAGATTCATTCAACAGTGTAATTGTGTTTGAGTAAAAAGTGTAATTTTACACCACTTAAAATTTCTTCTAAAAAAAGCCATGCAGACGCTATTATTCCATGCATTTGTAAATTAAGGACATTACTAGGACACGAACCTTTTGAATTACTTGTTGGGATAAGTAGAACTGATGGAGGGGATGCACCGACTCTGTTGTAGGCAATCACAGTCACTTCGTAAGTTCTATTCGACAGCTTTAATGTAAGGCTGGTTGTATTAACGTTGTACTTCCATGGCGAATGGAAGGGAGGTGATTTAGCTCTGACAGTCACTTCATACCGCAAGATTACTCCATTTGCTTCAAGTGGCTCCAGTGCCTGTCAGAAACGCATCTTTTATTAGACTGATACTGAACAAAAGTGACTTAAACTTCACTGTCTTTGAAGCATAGTTTAAAAGTCTAAGAGCAAGACAGATTATGTAGCTTAAACAGCTGCAAATGTAAGAAAACTGCAAATGAGTTTAGAGTTCATTTCTGTAAAAGTCTCCAGAACTATTTCTTGTTTAAAACCTCATTTTCTTACAACCCTATACGGTAGTCTAGCAAATGTTCTATCAAGATTGTAGACTATGTGTGGAAGAAGCCTACACTTTGTGCAATTTCACAACACAATGACACCAAAAGAATCTCAACCCTCATAGCCTGGGTTGAGCCTAAATGCAACACAGCACAAACAATTTTCTTTTATTACACATGCAAGAATATTCACATCTGTTATTATCTGTAACAGTATTAGTTTTCCGGGAACATAAAATTGATCAACAGGGCAAGCTTTAGTAACAGTTTTCCAATTCTAAGCTAATCGTTTCAGAGTTCCATGTGACATGAGTTTCATCAGAAAACGGTCACTACACAGGTAACTTCACCCAAGCCTTCAACAAGTAATACTTCACAAATCATGGGAAAATAATAAAAGACAGATAGGTCAAATGCGTCAAAGTTCACAGACCAGAAGAAATCAGGAAATGGGGACTGATATAACTGCATTCACTTTTTCAGCTTCGGATTTTTCAGTCAACTAGTCAGTGATCTACTGCATGCAAACACACAGAACCGTATTTCATAGCTCTGGTCTCTGGAATGCCTCTACACTTAATGGATTTTGCGTCTGGAGGATTCTTGCACAGTCAGTGTTACAAACGTTTTAGCATACATCAGAAAGCATAAAGAGTGTTCACTTTGTTCAAGGGCGCTTCCAATTCCACAGACTCCTTACGGACAGCAAGTGGCAAACTTGAAAGGGGATTCTATACATTCTGCATTACAGACTTCTGTCAATTAACTCATGGCTTTTAAGTATACAAAAAGTACACATGTAAGCAGTTATTAAAAATTAAAGTCACTTTTTGCATCACTAAGACATGTTTTATCACAGTCATCTAGGAAAGTTTGTTGAGGTAATTTTTTTCCCCCACTTAAACTCATGTTTTTAAAAGAATGCTGAATTTATACAGTTTATCACATTGCTTTACCTTCCACATCAGATGTACAGTCCGAGAAGCTGGTGAAGAAGATGCATCAATGATTCTCCATACGGATGGCCCTTTAGATGGTTCTGATGAAAGAAACAATGCTTAAGAGTAGAGACATTTTTTCTTATCTGTTTGAATTCATCATTTGACTATCATTACTTGCATGCCGTTTTTCTTTTTTAAGACATATACAAAAATTGTTTCCTTATTTCCCTGGAAGGAAACAATGCTTGGTATGTTAAATGGAACATCTCTATGGAAAGATTTCCTGATGGGATGAACAAAACACCCGTTCTGCTCTAATGCACAATATCAAAGTAACCGAGTACCACCATGCTGAGCATCAGTGATAACACGTTGAATTTGGCAGCACCAAGGATGGTCAAATCTACATTGTGCAGCACAGCACTGTGCTTCTTTATACTGCTGTCCTTGCTATGGTCTGTAACCCTACCCCTCAACACGAAGTCACCTAAAAATGAAAACTGCAGAAGAGTTAATGAGGAAGCCAGTAATAAAGTTCCTAAATTTCCCAAATAGTTTATTCTAAAAAGGGTATCAGAACTACAGTACTTTTGAACACTACAATACTGTTTGGTGTTAGTACTGTTAAAGATTCAAGTGGTATTTCCACTGCAAACTTCAAAATAAAATAAATTAATTATTGTGCATGAAGCAAAAAAAAATAAAGAAGGCCAATTCTTTGCAAGGGCTTTAACCATAACAGAAAGAAAGATGATCTTAAAAATGTATTTATATTTATAATCTTGCTAGACTGTGTTTTCCATAGGAATTCTTTTGTGTTTTTAACATTAATCACAAAGAGGCACGGCATTTTTACATCTAAATAGCAATGTCAAGACCAGGGAGTATGTCTTGTCTCTTACGCTTTACAACAGAGTGGAAGAGCTGGGAATTGAGGCCAAGTGAGCTCTTAATCTAATTTGAGTACATACCTGTGATTCATATGAAGCAGATGCAGTTGTACATCTCACCTAATAGAGGTCACAAATGCAACGTGACCTGCCTCATGTTCCTTCCCTATCATAACACCTTGGTTCTGAGACTAAAATAAGACATTGATACTTGATCACTTATGGCATTATTCTTGCAGAGCAAGTCACCACAGCAGAACAGCAATGCAATCTAATAAGCAGGATGTCCTGAAATCCTCATTGCTCTGGTTGAGATAGTAACCACAGAACATATGCCTCTTCCACTCCGTGGAAAGCAGAAACAATGTCATTAGGAAATTAAAAGAAGTGGTTAGAACATTGAAAGAATATTTTTATAATACCTTTCCCAGAGAAAATAAGTTTTGAGTAAAGCTGAAGTAATGTTTTACTGAATGAAGTAATTTTGTACACAAATTCCATTTTGCTTAAATAAGTAGGTTATATCTACACTCATTCTTTTTGCTACAATATAAGAAAAAAATCAAAACACTTCTTTACTGGGAGCTCAATTAGGATAAATAAGAAAGGACTTCTGACCCAGCGTATTGAGCTCTAAGCACAGGGCAGTGCTTTGACAGCAAAATCCTTTAGTGGTTTGACTCTGTTTAGAGATAGATGCACTGAAACATTACACAATACAGACTGTTTAATAAGAAGGTGCCTTGGAATGCACTAAGGAACAGATGGAATACTGCAGAAAGAAGAAGAGTGCAAGTAGGAAAGGCTAAAGCATGTTTGAAAAAAAAAAAAAAAAAAAAAAGAGCAATGCTGAAGACTTGCTCCACAAAGCAGTGGAAGCTGACCCTTGACTGAGGCTTTTCAACAGTTTGTTTTGTTTTTTGTTTTTTTTTTAAAAAAACATGGCTGTGAACTTTAAGCTCTGCCCAGTGGTTCACTACATCCTAACCTATCTTCTGTATATATTAGTTGTGAAATGATTGTGTATATCTGAAGTTGTACACATCCTGCTCACAAGTCCTTTTGGACAACACTAAACATGATCTAAACAACGCACTCAAAGAGCTGCTGCTGGTAAAGAGTACATGTATTCCTTATTAAGTCATGACAGCAGCAATTCAGTGTTCATTTTTTTTTTTTTTTTTTGCAAAGGGACAGTATATGTGAAGTCCACACCTGTAACATAACAAACCCAGTGACCATCATCAATAATTTTTATGACTATGTATAGACAAAGTAAAACCATTTCCACACAGGCTCAGTCTTGTGGAAAGTCAGTGATTTATATATGGTGTTTTCTCAATACCTCGCACACTAATGGATGAGCAGTGAGACTCTTAGAAACTGGAGGCAGAATCTTGTAAACCAATGGGTGCAAGACATCAGAAAACCAGTTTGTAGGTAATAATGTGACAAGCAAGAAAGCATTGCAGATACAGAACGTCTCAGGAAAAGTAAGACTAAACAAGAGTGTTTTACTTAGATGCTTCAGTGAACAAGAGACTGTACTTCCATATGCATATTTTTTCATATCAATGTTTTAAAGAAAAATCTCTAGATCATACTTAGTGATGTTGGTTTGCCTAATACTTTATTTGATGGCTTCCTAAACCTGCATTGTTTAAAAACTAAGGCACTCTTTGCCTACTGAAAACTTTCATACATATAGGATAGCTTCTGTTGCAGTCACATGTATAATCAAGCAGTTCAAATGATAATGCACAATTTCAGTTTGCTATTGTCAAACTGCTCAGCACATAGGCATTTTGGGAGTATGGGACCAAGTTTCATATGTTACTTACTATCTTCAGTTGTGACTCCTGTTTTTTCTTCACTCCAGTCACTCCAATAGCCTACCCCATCTTCCTTCATGCATCGAATTGAAAAGACATACTCTGTGTGAGGTCTGAGACCTTGAACACTGAATGAAGTTCTTGGTGAAGCTGTATCCTCAGAAGGAACCTGTAGCAGAAAATTGTAAAGGCACTGATCACAAGAAGTTCAGGTTACAGCAAAAGAGTGGCAGAAGACATTACTTGTGTTACCTGCATCCAGTTCGTTTCATTAACAATCCTATAGCGAATATTGAATTTCAGTTTCATCACAGCTGTTGAAATCCGGTTCTCCCAGGAAAGCTTCAGAACAGTAGGTAGTATTCCCGAGTTGACGGATAAGTTATGTGGAGACAGTGGTTTGACTAGAAGAGAAGTTAGAGTCAACTATGCAGCTGCATTGTTTTTCCATGCATCTAGCAGTTGGCACGCTGTGCTGCAACACTGCCAGGAAGGCTTTTCATAAGCACAAATGTCTGCTATTTCACACTCACGTCTAAAGCAGACTACTCAAGAACTTGGTCTGAACAGTGATCAAATCTCTCAACTTCTATAAATGTTGTCCACCACAGTTCAAGTTCTAGTGTCAACAACACTCTGGAAATGTTAATTTTTATAGTGAAAGAAATTGCGTATCAATTCAGTAATATGCACAGGAGCAGCAGTCCTACACACTACTAAAACTGTATTAAGAGGCATATAGTTACCAATCTCAATGGGATCAAAAACAAGACGATCAGATTCATTCTTCCCAAGAGCATTTGACACTTCTACCCAGACCTCTAGGTTAACAAAGAACTGAACATCGGAAATGGTACAGGAATTATTTGCATCTTTTGATATGCAGTCAGGAAAGTTCTCTCGTGGCCTGAATTAAAAAAAAAAATGCAACAAAGAAGTAAGTTTGGTTTCCTTTATAGAATGTTTGTTTTCTAGCTACCATACTTTCTACCATAGTCATTACCAAAACACTGTAGAGGAACAAGAGGAGACAGGAAGTTGTTGGCAGTTATTCCTGTTTCCAGAGAGGGGCATTAATTCTGTATAATCTTAAATGACCAAAGACCATTTAAAGAGTTTTAAAAATACATCAGTTTGATTCTATATGAGCAAAACTTTTGCTGACAGCTTCACATTAGAATTAGATTGTGAACAAACTACTGAGTACTTAAGAAATACAGAGCAAACACCACTTCACAAAACCCAGTGACTGTATGTTGGTTTCCTCACTTGCTTAGAATAGGATAGAACCATGATCACAAAAATCAAAACATTTGGGGTCCAGCCAGATCATGATTAGGTGTACTGTATTCTAACCATGCTAGGCATGTGTTTGAAGAATGGAAAAATTGAGATGGCTGTTACTGTAAAATAGATATAGTAACCAAATTTCAAGTCCTTCTTTTAATTACTTTGGATGTGAACTTCTTTAACTCTTCCCTCCCTCCCAAAATGGGCAGCAATGTTTCAGAAAACTGGATTTAAAAACGTTTTCCAAAGTATTAAAGAATTACAAGGAAGTTTGGCTTAGCTTACAAACATTCTTCAGAATGATTAAAATATTCTGTAGAGAGCTACTCACCACCTGGATTTCAACTTAAAATGCGTGTCCAGGAACGTATGCCTTCCAGGGTTCCACGTACAAGTCATAGGATACGTGAGTTTTGACTGCTGATGCACAATACAACTTAAATTCGTGGGCTTCTCTGGGGGCACTGTACAGAAAAGTTAGTGATAATTAACTGATGTACAATTTTCTATTCAGTAAGAATCATGAGACATGTCCCATTACAGCAATTTCAGCAAGCATCAGAAGTACTTTTAGTTACATGCATTTTTAAATGAGGGGGGTAAAAAGCACTAGGGAACATCCAGCAGCACAAGTCAGTAAGTTTAACCAGCTGCTTTGAGAAACAGTAGGCAGTCAGTATAAGAAACAAGCACCTGACAAAGTAAGAAACAACACAGAAAGGTATTGGCCATCTCTTACCTACTGTACTAAATCTATTTTAACTCATGGTGGAGGGGGAGAAATGCTACTGAGCAGCACAGCTGCAACAGCATATACTGACTTTGTCAACAACCTGATATGTGAAGCAGTTGTGATAACTCTACTCCCTTACCCCATTTACAGGGGAGGGATGGTTTAGACAAACATCTACAAGAGGGAACGTCATCAATACACTTGAGCATGTAAGAAACTTTCAGACAGCAAATGAACTTTTTTTTCCTTCTTAAAGTCAAATCATATCATACAAAGATAGCATTGAGTTTGTTTCCAGCTTTTAGGATAATCACTATTTACATCAGTGTAATATAAAGCATCTTATTTCTTTTCAAGCAGAAAATCCAATTTTAAACAGAACTACCAACTTATGAACATGTTCATAGCTTTGTTCCTAAACATGCTGCTCACTTCTAATAGCATTTTAATCGATAGAATGAAAACAGCAGCTGTAAATACAAGTGCACCTCAAGATTCACATGTGAATTACAACTGTAGAACACTATCTGTACTGTCATTTAAGTTTCCATAGGATATTCTACATATTCACCTTTCCATGTAGTGTCTGTCCTATCTTTTCTGAGAATAAATTTACTCAGAAGTTGAAATAACTTCTTCTATGAAATCGTTTTGTAACTCATGATAAAGCCACATGAGTTTGAATGGTAAACCCAAAGCTTCTTCATGTAAATCAGACAGTAATTGCAATGTCTTTTACCAACATTAGGAGGCAACGTATTTCCCCAGCTATTTATACTCAGGAAGGACACATTCATCACTTTACGAACTGTCCACCAATTAAGCAGTAATATATTGAGTCATTCACATTACACCTTCTCAAGACCTCAGTCTTGACTCAAGGAGCACTTGCTCAGTTATGCAAAAACTATCCTGCTTGGAAAAAGAAAGTTTATAAATTGTTAGAGGTATTTTTCTATATATATGTTGAATAATCCAAATAGCACGTTTCCTTCTTAAGGCAGTTCAGTTTTCATTTAGTGGTACAGATGGACTAGATATTTTTAAGTCTGCTAATGAAGGAAACAGTAATCTTATAATTCTATTATGAAACCAGGCTTTATGACCTTATTGTATTTCCTTGCACAGCAGGAAGAACCAAGGAAAGTTTGATTTCTTTCCTAGGATCTTTTTCAGCTAAGTTCAAACCTTCTTTATGAAACTTAAGTCTTCTTGCTTCAACATTTTTCTCTTAAATAGTCCAGAGTATTCTCTATTTTTTTGGAATATTTTATTTTGTGCATATTCACTGGCTTTGATGACATACTATTTGACAGCATATTTATGCAATTATGCAGGAGCTAAGGAAATGAAAAAGAACATCTCAAGATGTACACAGTTTTGTTTTCATTCCCTTATCTGTTTCTCAAATAACTTTTTTAGCGTTTAAACCAGAATAAAGCTCAAGAAGATCAGTACTTACAGCCTAATGTAACTGTAATTCCATAAATGTTCTGCTCAATCTGTCCATCTGCTAGAACGTTGCATGTCAGAGGAGTAGCTAGTGAAGAAGTGTCATTAAATGTGACACTGGAAACTGTTCTGTTTATTTCACGGTATTGTTCTCTAGGTACCACTTTATTTTTAATTTTCCAGATAATTTGATTAGCATATATATTGCCAAAGTCAAGACAACTCTCATTCAAAATGCATAATGCTGTGAAATTGGAACCAAGGGCCAATACAGGAGACTCTGGGATGATGTGACCACATGACTGTACAAGTCCACCTGAAACTGGAAGAAAAAAAGACAACACCATCTTTTTAAAAAAGCAGAACATTCCACAATAATTGCTGGTACAAAATTACTGTACTATTGACAATATTACAAAGTATGCCTAAGCAGGAAATTACTTACTTGACTGTTACAAAACTGCAGTGTGTTAGTGGATCACAAAGTATAGATTTAAGGGACAAAACCAGCGTAATGTTCCCTAGGCATTGCAAAAACATTTTATGAAGCCAGTAAAGCTCACCTAATAACCAAGGGTCTTTAGAGAAAGTGAGAATAGAGTCAAGGACTGAATGTGTATCTTGAAGGGGGAAGTAACTGAGGTTACTCTTGCAGCTAAAGGTATTTACTGTTGAGAAAGCCAACAAAATACTGACATATACACCTTTGTTGTGGAAGACTAGTTTTAGAAGAACCACATGCAAACAGTTAAACACTTGAGTCATCCACTTCAGAATCTTCAATACGTATATTGTAAGAGTACTGGGGAATTTGGGCCAACTCTGTATTTGGTAGTAATCTTTTTACAAAGGAACATCAACACAATGATTAAATTGTGAAGACTGCTACCAAAGCATGCAAACATCAGCAGACTGAAATGTTGCCTTGATTCAATAGCCATACTGAACAGCTTCAGGACGATTGTTTCCTATACAAGTGAAGTTGCCCATGGCTCCACCTTGATTAAAACACTTAATTCATTGGAAGCTTTATTCCTTTAACAGCTGTTGAGTCTGACCAAGTTAGGTTTTCATTGAGATATCATTTAGCATATGCAAAATTAAATCATATAATATTGCTTCAAAGTTTTTTTTTTTTAATTAAAAAAATCACACTGTAAGACCAAATTCACCACTGCAGTCTGCTACAGTGACTAGTTCCAGTGATGTCAGTGGAAACAAAGCAACCTGTCACTGATCAAAGTCAGCTTCACTAGCTCTGTACAATTCTGTAGGAATGGAAGCGGAGGTGAGTATTGGTTTAACACTGCATTACCTTACCATAAGGTTAACAACATAGCGTGGGTCTCTTAATTGTACTATACCTTATTTTATGCCCCACACCTGCAACAGTTATCTAGACAAAAAGCAGGTAAGTGCTTCAAGCATCCAATTAAAGACTTCCTACAGGTCTCTCATATGTAGAACAGAAGCCTTACCTCCAAGGGAACAAATATTCCAAAACAAGTATAAGCAACGGGCCACCCAGTTCCACCCAGAAAACATGCTGCACAGAATTCCTGTAATAGACAAAGATTTTTTTTCCATTTTAGCTATTAGTCTTCACTTCAGATCACTAACAGACTCAAATTTCTATTTGTTATATGACATTTTCTCAGGTATGCTATTTTTCCCCTGACAATCTCTTTTCACTCTGGAAAAATAATGGGCTTTTTTTTTTTTTCATTTTACTTACAGCTGTAACAAATTCCAATGTCTGTTTAAGACAAATGATGCAGTTGAAAGGCTCTTAAGTTACAAATTTAAGAAACTCATCATCTTAAGTTTTTCACATCATGCATGAAAACAAAATTCACTGGTACTTCTATAAAAGGTTAGCAATTAAAACAGTGTAAAACCATTGCTCATGTTTTAAAACAGTTCTAAGAATTCGATTATGATTACCACGCTACCTCGCTTTTAAAGGCACCAATATAAGCACTTTATATAAGGTTCAGAAGAGACATTTAAAAATTTCTTAAATTTTAAAATTTCTCAAAATTTAAAGAAAATTTTAGAACAGAATTGACTGTTACAAGACCAAAAAAACTTCAGCTTATGACAGAAAACACTCCTTGCTTTTGACTGCATGTAGTTGATAATGATGACGAAGATGCAAAGCACATTTCATACAGGTCACGCTAAGATTAGATTGGAAAAGTCATTTAAGCACCAATGTATCAATATCAAGCTAGAATCACGTTCCTTAGGTATAAGCATATCTAAGCTTTTTGACTTGAAAACAAAGGTAAATAATATAATGTAAAGAAAATTGATTTTCACATGAATCCTAAACCAACAACACAACAAATGCCAATCTTAAAACATTACAGCAATGCATTTTTAGGGCTCACCAAAAGTTATATTATATTAGGAATACTGCTGATTAGAAGACTCCTCAATTAGGTTAACAAGCACTTACACCTGTCATTATAGATTTATTTACTAAATAACAGTACTGTTATCTATAATCGAACTTTGTTTCAATAAATTAATTTCGGATTATTATTATTTTTTTAATAATTTGCTCTTACTGGACTAGGTATGACAACCATTACAGTGTGCACTTAGTCACATGGTCTGAATTTTTGGGTTCCTTTCTGCATTTTAAAATCCCAACTGGTTTCATAAATTTAAGTAAATTTAAGTAAATCCACACAGTGAACAAGACCAACACCAGAGAATTTGGTTTAGGTCCTAAGCTCTATTTCAGTGTCTTGACTTACTCGAATATTTATCAGAAATACCACTTTCTACCTTGTTGAAGCTTGCTGCACTCTTAAGCATAGACCTTACAATTTGCTATTTTAAGCAAGATTCATTTAAACCTATTAAACTTGAACAATGTGGTGCAGGATTTGAAGCTCCTGAGAATCCTGAGGCCAGATATAAACTGGGTGGAAAGAAGAGAGCAGCTTCATTTTCCTGCTAATTGCCCAAAGCTGCAGAACAATAGCAGACGCAAATTCTATGCTGAAGAAAGAAGAGTGAAGCAGAGGTAAAAAGGCAGAAAGGAAAAAAAAATGCACAACATAGCATTTCTCTCCGAGAAAAAAAAAAACAAAACCAACAACAAACACAAAAACATTTGTCACTATGATTGGTGCCACATTAGAGCAGCTGCACTGTCACCTAAGCTAAGTATTGCATCATTACAAACTTACTGGTTTCTTATCAATAATGACTTATTTCAGGCTAGACGATAAATCCACAGAGCTAATCAAAAAACTCTAAATCATATTGTCACGTGAAGTATGGCAGAGGTTTATCAGAAAAAGGAACATACCCTGAATCACTTGAAGGAACACAAGAGCTAACACTTAAAAAGCAAAAAACCAACTCGGAAACAATAGCAGAGTATCAAACCTTTGCTAAGGTGTAATATTTTTGAATGAAAAGAATATCAGATGACTTCATCTTTTTAAATAAATGCCATTTCTACATGCTTCAACTGTTTTCCAGCCTTAGTTGAACTGATTTACAGATGAGAAACCTGAGGTCCAATTCTCTACTAGTCTGCACTTTCGAGAACTTAGTTTCTGTTCTAAGGGAGCACAAAAGAAATAAAAATCTTACACAGTTTAAAGTACTATTTCACTGTATTCAGCTCCTGAAAGGCAATAAAACTGAGACTCCATCACCTGCAATGGAAAAATTAACTGAAACCCCCCCTTGCTGGCACTAGCAGATGTGACTATAGCTTCAAAAAAAAAATATAAATCAAACCACAGTTCAGCATATATCTGCTGTTAGCTTGTTTTGATGTAGCTTATTTTTTTCCCCCCTACTGATCAATGCAGCTACAAGATTTAAGGCACAGACCTCTGAATCCACAAATGGGCTGTTGCAATGTCTTCTAATGTGTGCTATTTTTTTTTTTTTTGAAAACAAAAAGAAAAACAATACAACAAAAAAACATTAGTTCCTCTAGCTTTTATGAGATTGATTTTTAAGGGAAATTTAATTCTTAAGGGAAATTTAACTCTAGAAGAAAGAGCCAGAGTTACACTAAGCACTTCTATCCATGCTGCCTAGAAGAAAGTTGTAAAAGAAATGGTGGAGCCAATACCTAACAAAACAAGCAGCCATACTTTAGATCAGAGCATGGAAGAGATTTCTATGGAAACTTGTGTTTTCTAATATGAGCATATGAAGATTTGATGGCACAGAACCCTGCATGTAAGCTATACCAAAGCTTTAGAAGTCAGTGCCATCATTCCAGAGAAATGCTGCTGAACACCAATTGTTCACTGTCAACGACTAAGTCAGACAAGTTGCAAGTCTGGACAAAAGAAAACTCGTTAGCCCCAGCAATTACACAACACAGCCAGAAATGTTCTGTTTTACAAACCAGTGCAGGTTATTTGGAATCTAAGGTAAAAGTTCAAGCTGATGCTGAACTAACATTGACAAAGATAGTCATTTCAGAAGGTAGTCATTTCATTAAAAAAGATAGTCATTTCATTAAAAAAAAAAAAAAAAGCAGAAACAACAATTTATCTAGACTATGCACTTGTTGTGGACCACTACGTACAATATTTTTTTCTAGCCAAGCCTAGTTAGGTACAATGCTAAGTAAAAGGAAAGGGAGATACAAAAAAAAACCAAACTGCTGTTGGAAGTTTGTCAGGCTACTTTCAAGGCTGGATCTGCCAAAGTGGCAAGGGATCAAAGTCTGTCAAAATACTACACAGTAAAAACAACACGATCAATTTAGAACTACTACTAGTGACAGTCCTTAACTCTCAGAATATGTTACCTTCCAGAGGAAAAAAATTCTGTTAAAATGCTGAGATTACTTCAGTAAATAAAGGTGTGAAACATGTATGCCACGAGATCACCCAATTTAAACTGTCATACAGTAGTTGTTATTTTTCACATCCTGCTTCCATTTCGATAGGAACTCACTAAGCCTTTTCACCTGCATCTTTAAACGAATGCTTCAGACAGTGCTCTGTGGAAACCTAGAAACACCCCTGAAGTCAAGAAATATAGGCATAAAGTAACAACAGCATTCTGTTATCACAGGTTTGTGGTAAATCAGTTTCTAAAGAAATTCATACATACATACAAAAGGGATGGCTCTAGTTATCCCAAGTAACAGAGCACTTGTGATTTTAATCTTATTTCATAAATCACAAAAACAACACCCAAATAAATACAGGTTGTGTGTCATGTGATGAGCTTTCCCTCTCTGGATCAGAAATGTAACATCTAATGACCTAAAAATGACAGTTTCAGTTAAACTGCAGCAAAATGGAATTTCCTTGCCAGCAAAGCCAGCTTGCAAATCAGGGAGCAGAGACAATACCAGGACCATCACAGGAAGGAGTTAGGTCTAGGTAAGGCTCACCACCAGGTCAATCACAAAAGCCTAAAGGTTGCTGGCAAACAGACTTCTGAAATTTCCTCAAAATAAATATTAAAAGCCAAACCTGCAGCTTCAAGTGGTAATTTCTCAGCCAGAGCCACATAACTCAGGTAGATCAAGCAAGAAAACGGTACATATGAGTGACACGGCAAATAGCTGCTACTGCTTGAGGCTTTGTAACAAGCCAAGAATACTTAGAACTGATCCAAAAGCTGTATCTATCCTAAAGTAATTTTGATTACTCAAGCTGTAACTGCTTTCTAATCAAGAGCTTTTCATCTGCAAGCTTCCTTCCTTCCTTCCTCCAAGCTTACTTCCTTCTTGGAAATATTTATGAGACTCAAATACATTTTCAAAGACGATCACTTGAAAATCTTGCATAACCTTACATACACTGAACATTCTGAAATTCATCTTCATATTGAAGATACCTATATGCAAACAATATAGAGTAACCACCTCTCAGGATGGCAAAATCATTTAGCTTGGCAGGGACCTCTGGGCCCATCTGGCCCAACCCCTGCCCAAGCAGGGACACCCAGAGCAGGCTGCCCAGGGCCATGTCCAGGTGGCTTTTGGAGATCCCCAAGGAGGAGACCCCACAGCCTGTCTGGGCAGCCTGTGCCAGGGCTCCCTCACCTGCACAGTGAAGAACAGTGAAGTCTGAACCTGACGTTCAGACGGAACCCCCTGTGTTCTAGTTTGTGCCCATGCCTCTTGTCTTGGCACTGGTGGGGCAGAGGAAAGAGCCTGGCTCAGTCTGTTTTCCATCCTCCCTTCAGGTATTAATGCACATTCACAGAATCACAGAATGGCTTGGGTTGGAAGGGAACTTAAAGACCATCTAACTCCAACCTCCTGCCATGGGCAGGGACACCTCTCCCCAGACCAGGTTGCTCAAAGCCCCATCCAACCTGACCTTGAACACCTCCAGGGATGGGGCATCCACAGCTTCTCTCAGCAAACTGTTTCACTGCCTGACCACCCTCACAGTAAATAATTTCTTCCTGGTATCTAATCTAAACCTACCCTCTTTTAGCTTAAGAGTCATTACTTCTTGTCCTATCACCCCACCTCCTGACAGAGTCCCTCCCCAGCTTTCCTGTAGTCCCCTTTAGGTAGTGGGAGGCTGCTGTAAGGTTTCCCCGGCGCCTTCTCTTCTCCAGGCTGAACAGCCCCACCTCCCTCTGTCTGTCTTCACAGGAGAGGTGCTCCAGCTCTCAGAGCATGCTCATGGCCCTCCTCTGGAGTTGCTCTAGGATGTCCATGAAAACACTGATGAGATTCCCCAGAACATCCTCCAGGCTGAACAGTCCCAACTCACTCAGCCTCTCCTCATGGGACAGATGCTCCAGTCCCTTCACTGGACTCTCTCCAGTATGTCCAGGTCTCTCTTGGACTGGGGAAGCCAGAAAGGGACCCAGCACCCAAATGTGCCCTCACCAGTGCTGAGCAGAACGAAGGATCACCTCCCTCAGCCTGCTGGCAGCACCCTGCCCGATACAATCCACTGTCAACAGTCAGTAAAGGTCCACTTTTTTTCCCTAGTCCTCCTTTTGTCACCGATGTACTTACAGAAGCATTTAGCCTCTATCTATAAGCCCTGTCTTGACATCCCTGGCCAAATTCGATTCCATTTGAGCTTTAGCTTTCCTAACACCCTGACACTTAAACAATATCTCTGTATTCCTCCCAGGTTCCCCAACCTTCCTTCCGCTCTCTATATGCCTCCTTACTATGTCTGAATTTTGCCAGGAACTCCTTGTTAATCCACACAGGCCTCCTGTCATTTTTGCCTGACTTCCTCTTTATTGGAATGCACTGCTCTTAAGCTTGGAGAAGGCGATCCTTGAGTACTAATCAACCTTCTTGGGCCCCTCTTCTCTCTAGGGCCTTATCCAAAGCCATTTTTCCACGCAGATCCTTAAAGAGGCCAAAGTCTACCCTCCTGAAATCCAGGTGGGGACCTTGCTTTTCGCCCTCCTTCCTGACCCAAGGATCCTGAACGTCACCATCTCACGGCCAGTGCGGCCAAGGCTGCCTTTGACCTTCATGCTCCCAACAGGCTCCTCGCTGCTGAGGAGCATGAGGTCCATGGGGCACTTCTGGGCTCCTCTAGCACTTGAAGAAAGAGGTTATTACCACCACCACCAAGAAATCCAGGAGGTTTGTGGCGTGTACGCCCCCCTGTGCTGTCCCTCTCTCACTTTCCTATAGCAATACACCAACACTCAGATTGTTAAGTTCGTTAAATTCAGAAATTAATCGATTTCAGCAGATTCCTCAGCAAGTAGCAACATTTAGGAAGAGAAGTGCAATTACTTCCATGTTCTGTAAGGGGCAGAGAGGATTAAAAAAAAACAACAAAACAAACATATTTTGGCTCCCCAACGCGTTTGACCCCTTCCCTTTGCAGACCTTTCATTCCTCCCCTCCCGCCACATCACTGCCCCGGCAGGCTGCCCTTTCGGAGGCACCTCAGCAACAAGCAGGCAGGCAGACAGACAGACAGACAGACGGCCCCAAACGAGGGCTGTGCCCGCCGGTCTCCTTCTGGGGCTCCCTGAGGCGAGGCCGGGGGCTCCCTGAAGCGATCCGGACCGAGGGGGTCCCTCCCCTCCGCTCTCCTTTGTGCCTCCCCCCTCACCGCAGACCCCTCCGCGTTGCGGCCCCGTTGTGTGGGTGCCCCCCCTTCCCCTCCTTTTTCCCCTTTTTCCCTTCACCCCCCTCCCCCTCCCCAGCCGTTACCTGCCGCCGGCCGCCGCCGCCCCGCCGCGCGCCCCTAAATAACGGCCCGGCCGCGCGCCGGCATCGCCCCGCCGCCCGTTACGCGGCGCGCGCGCGCGGGGCCCCGCCGCCCGGCTCCGCTCCGCTCTGTGCGCGCGCGCGCGCGCGCGTGTGGCTCCCCCTCCCCTCCCCACCCTCCACCTCCCTCCCCTCCGCCCCTCCCCGTCGCGCGCGCCGCCATTGGCGCGGGGGGCGCGTGACGCCGCGGGGTGGGGGAAAGGAGGGGGGGGAGTGGGGGGGGGAAGGGGGCGGAGCTTCCCGTAACGCGCCCGCCGGTGCCAGGAGCCCGGGAAGGGCGGAGGGGGGGGGGGGGAGTGTGAGGGACGTCCTGAGGGGCCGGCGGTACCGGGCAGTGCCCCCGGAGCCCCCGGGTCGGTGTCGGGCCTCGGGGGCGGTGAGGGGGGCTGCAGGGGGTGTTTGAGGAGGTCCTGCGGCCGCCGTGGGGCCGGGCTGTGCCCCCGGGGATTTTCCTCAGGGCGGCGGGTCCGAAAATGGCTCCCTCCCGTCAGGGCGGCGCGGCAGGCTGCGCTGCCGAGCACCGGGTCAGGCTTCTCGCCTGCCCAAGCGAGAAAAAAAAAAAAAAAAAAAAAGACGTTTAAACACCACATCCACAGTTTTAAGTGCCACATCCACAAGTTTATGCCGTGCCGAGAGCCCCACGCTAAGCCCTTTCTACACAGGAACGGAGCAGGCGTCCATGATGCGTGCCGGAGCTCCTCGCCACACGCTTCAGCCTTTTGCCTGCGTATTTCTTCGACAATTTTCGGGTTATAACACGCTTTTAGTCACATCTGTTGTGGAGTAGGCAGATTGGCCTGATAAGTGGGGTATCCACAACAATATCTTGTCTCAAATGCTGGCTGGCATCAGCTGCGAGTGAGAAAAGATTGAGAACTTTGGGGAAGGATAGCAGGAGATAACCTTTATCACATTTGTTCACGTTCTCACAGGTTCAAACCTTAAACAGGTTTAATACCAGTCTTCATGTTTGGTTTACATTCCAAAATGGTTTCATACCAGAAATGTGGTTGTTACTAACACTGTGGGTGTTGGGCATTTCACAGGCAGCACAATGTGAAGCTGGAAGGGCGCTCAAGAGGTCATTTAGCTCCTCCACCTTTCCTCAAGACAAAATCAGCTATCCTTGAGTCATTTCTGATAGGTATTTATGTAACCTGCAGTTTAAGCTGACTACTTCACCTCCCCATCCACAGCTGGCACACTTTCTAGCAACCTCGTATTCCTGTAGTGCAGCTGTTTCTCCCGTTGGTTGTCTTTGCACCTAATAGATTTTCCATCTCCTCACCCAGGCTTTTGGATGTTCAAACCCTTCCTAAAGTATCAGGACTAAGTGACATCTGCCCAGTGTTGCACAGTTTATTCGTTATGAAGAAAAGCACTTCAGCATTAAAATTTGCCACTTTCTGCTTTCTCTTCAGGTTATGGTTCCAGATGTGTTTGTGCTTGTGGTGATGTGAGAATCATGTATAGTTATTAGGCGTTCTGGATTAGTACCTCTATAGATATTTAAATCGGTGTCTTTATGGATATCCCTGGCTCAGAATGCTCCAAAAATAAAATAAAAAAAATAAATCTGTGTTTGTCGATATAAGGTTAAGTGGAAACAGACTCAAATTAGAAGGACAGCAATAATGCTGTATTTTTCTTTTTTTTTTCTGTCTTGTTCCAGCATGTCTTCTCTGTCCTGTAAGATAATTACAGTTCTGCTGGTAAATAGACTTTCCAGGAGTAGAGGCTCAAGTCTCCCCTTTTCCCCTAGCCAACAGAAAGCCTCTTGTGACATTCCCATTCCGAAATCTGATAGCCTGAAGCAACTCTTGATTTATTTCCAGAACTTGTAGAACAACACCCCCCACACGCTTCAAATGCAATCCCGTATCAGGCCTCACTTGACATAAATTGCAACTCCTCAAATAAGCAAGAACTGGTGTATTTCACAGGTCATTTATGGTCTCCGTGTAAAATGATTTCCACATTGTTGAAGTTGCACAGATGAACAATTTGTTTGCATTTTTTTTTTCTTGCATTGGTGCAAATTGCGATTAATAGAGTAACAATTTAGGTTTCAAAGTTAATGATGGCATCCTTCCCTATATACCTTATCTCCTCTTCAGAACCTGCTGCCAACTGTAGATGTATAGAAAGATACCATAAAACTGTAAGGAAATAGTCTCATGAACAGGCTGAGTCCCATTTCTCTATAGTATCAGACAGTGGGCACAAATCAGCCCTCTGTTTAACACCAGCCCTAAGTGCAGCTGTGGCAAGGACGCTGGTGTAAGCCTCACAGGTGCCCTGGACACAGTCTCAACTGCCTCTGTTGATCAGTTTTTGTCTTCTCAGCCCAGAAATTTTTGGTCAGGGCTGCCGTTTGATTCACTTTTTGCTACTCAGAGGAAATAGTTTGACATCTGTGTGGCAAATGGAAGTAAATGGAATTAAATGTGGTAACGTATATTTTTCTTAAATGTTTACCATCTACCCCAGAGGTGGTTCATATTAATCTTCTCTCACGGGCAGGACTGAATGTTGTGGGCAATTATGTTACATGGCCGGATGGGTGAAGTTTTGCTTTTATTCCCCTGAAACCTTAGTTTTCAATCTGATGGGGTGGGTGGGTGTTGTTCATGTTGCAGTGATTTCTAGTTCTGTGTCAGCATCCTCTCTAGTAATAAATGCTCGTTTTGAAATCTTGTTGGTGAAGATGAAACTCGCAACTCTGGTCTTACACAGGGTGCCAAGCTCCTACTGGTGTGAACGACATGGTCTGTAGGAACTGTAATTCTGGCACGGGGCCCTGTAGCTGGGAATATAAAATAAATTCTCTGGATTTGAGCCTTTTAAAATATATCAGCTGGCTTTCTGTAACACACAAAGAAATTGGGTGTTCTTAGGACATCATTAGGCATATTTTCTGTGGCAAACAGGGAAAAACAGGTTAGTACCATTATGAGTGGCATTTGTTAGACTCAGGACATTTGGGATCCCAGGTAAAGAAAACATTCAGGGTTTTCAAACGGCGCTCAGATCAGGGCTCTGTAGGACATTTCCAAGCTTGCACGCTCCACAGTCAGTGTGTAAATAGATGATGCATGCACTCACACACTGTTTTTTCAGCCCCAGGCAGAAAGAGGTGGACTGGGAATAAGGAGACGGGCAATATCCCCTGAAGAACATTCAGGGATTGGCAAAAGTTTCTACATTGTTGCTTGACTGTGGCAGTAAATAAATTTTTAGAGATGCTGTAGAGACTGCCTAGGAACAAACTTGTACCATTCAAAATGGATTGTTTCAGCCATTTCTAGGCAGGTTGTGATGAGTACTGCAGTCAATGCAAAATCTACCGAATCCTACAACAGATGTATTCAAGAGAAGAAAAGGTCTTTCTGAAGTCTATTTGTTATTTTGGTAAAAGGAAATGAAGCGACTCATAGATACATTAGGATGTGAAAAGACTCCTACATCCCGGATACGTCTGGTTTTGTTGTAGATGGGCTGCTGCCAAAACTGGGACTTAGAGAACGATTTTCAAAATTATGAGATAATGAACAACAACACCCCTAATGGTGGTGTTTTGACCCATAACTTGTCGAAGACATTTTCTGTGAGAGGGCTGAATCACTCTGTGAAACTTTGTCTGGGAGGTTCAGTGACACATCCAGCCCTCTTGCTAAAATGACGGTGTTATCTCAGCTTGTGTCACTGTGCAGAACTTGATCTTCCAAGCAGGGTGTTCAGTGTCCTTACACTCAAGATGGATCTCTGCCTTCTGACATTGTTTGGCTGTAAGAGAAGCCACTGCTTCCCCCAGGAGTGAAGTGACCAGTCCTTTGGCCTGGGTGGCCAGGACAGGAGCAGACTCTTGTGGTTAAGACGTAGCCTTGTAGGTCATGAAGTCATGGTAAAGCCCCCTGAAGAAGGAGGGAGGAGGCAAGCTGAGAGTCAACAGCAAGGCAAAACTGATGATGTAACTGTTGGAAATGATTTAGTGAGAGTCACAGCATTTCCCAGCTTCATAACTTAACAAGCAGGAGCTGCCTAGTGGCAGCAAAAAACAGCCTTTGTAGTAATTCATTACTTACTTTTAAGGGAGATTGGACGATGCTGCTTTTTCTCTAGAATAATTAGGTGTTTGCAGACTTTGTGACAAAGGGATAAAAGTTCACAGAGCCAAGCAGCCACAGTTGCAACCCACCAAGTATGTTCAACCTCTTCCACTGGGTAACACTTGTTATACCAAGGAGTGGATGTTGCATGTGGCATCAGGATTTGCCACAGTGAATGAGCTGGTCCCATTCTTTAGTGTCCTTATGCCCAGCAGGTTGCTGAAATAGGATACTCAGCACAGAGTCTTACAAAATTTAATTGCAATCTGTAACTGGGCTTCAGCAGTTCAGGAAAAGTCTTGTGATCTTGGGAAGAAGTTGGAAATGGGAATAGCCGACTCCTCTACATGTGATAAACTTGTCAGGGGAGTTTAGGGTTGCTGAAGTGAACCTGAAGCAATACTTTTGTTGCAACTACTCCTTGATGCTCAGGAAAAGGAATGGCAATACCAGGAAGCTGCCCCAGGGCATGTGAATTAGGAAGAAGATTGCTTATAGCCCGCTGAAAAATAATGGCACATATGACAGACTAGTGCTGAACCAAACAGTCCGCTTGTTTTTCTAGGGTGGAAATTGTAAAGCTAATGTTGTTTTAGACCTAGTCTGGAAGCGTTGACTGGTGGAACATGTTGCTAGGCTGCGTTTTTTCCCAAAAGACAGTGGGCAGGACCTTCAGAAAAAAAGGGGCCTGACCTTCGCTGGAGGAACTTGGCCAAAAGTGAAGACAGAAAAGGGAAAAGGCTTCTAAATCAAAGAAAGCAAATAAGAAATAGCAGATTAGATAGAAATACTGAAAAGGATGGGATTAATCAAACAGAGAAAATGCTTACCTTTGAATGAGTAATACAGTGAAATGGCAGTACACGGCAAGGAAGTGCTGACTCAGACTGGTAGCTCAGATGAGCTGA